CTGTCACCTGGTAGGTATCTTAGCAAGTTCATATCGGGGCACAATACCCTATGCCTCCTCCAATACCACAGCCAGACCACTGTCACCTGGTAGGTATCTTAGCAAGTTCATATCGGGGCACAATACCCTATGCCTCCTCCAACACCACAGTCAGACCACTGTCACCTGGTAGGTATCTTAGCAAGTTCATATCGGGGCACAATACCCTATGCCTCCTCCAACACCACAGCCAGACCACTGTCACCTGGTAGGTATCTTAGCAAGTTCATATCGGGGCACAATACCCTATGCCTCCTCCAATACCACAGCCAGACCACTGTCACCTGGTAGGTATCTTAGCAAGTTCATATCGGGGCACAATACCCTATGCCTCCTCCAATACCACAGCCAGACCACTGTCACCTGGTAGGTATCTTAGCAAGTTCATATCGGGGCACAATACCCTATGCCTCCTCCAATACCACATCCAGACCACTGTCACCTGGTAGGTATCTTAGCAAGTTCATATCGGGACACAATACCCTATGCCTCCTCCAATACCACAGCCAGACCACTGTCACCTGGTAGGTATCTTAGCAAGTTCATATCGGGGCACAATACCCTATGCCTCCTCCAATACCACAGCCAGACCACTGTCACCTGGTAGGTATCTTAGCAAGTTCATATCGGGGCACAATACCCTATGCCTCCTCCAATACCACAGCCAGACCACTGTCACCTGGTAGGTATCTTAGCAAGTTCATATCGGGGCACAATACCCTATGCCTCCTCCAACACCACAGCCAGACCACTGTCACCTGGTAGGTATCTTAGCAAGTTCATATCGGGGCACAATACCCTATGCCTCCTCCAACACCACAGCCAGACCACTGTCACCTGGTAGGTATCTTAGCAAGTTCATATCGGGGCACAATACCCTATGCCTCCTCCAACACCACATCCAGACCACTGTCACCTGGTAGGTATCTTAGCAAGTTCATATCGGGGCACAATACCCTATGCCTCCTCCAATACCACAGCCAGACCACTGTCACCTGGTAGGTATCTTAGCAAGTTCATATCGGGGCACAATACCCAATGCCTCCTCCAATACTACAGCCAGACCACTGTCACCTGGTAGGTATCTTAGCAAGTTCATATCGGGGCACAATACCCTATGCCTCCTCCAACACCACAGCCAGACCACTGTCACCTGGTAGGTATCTTAGCAAGTTCATATCGGGGCACAATACCCAATGCCTCCTCCAATACCACAGCCAGACCACTGTCACCTGGTAGGTATCTTAGCAAGTTCATATCGGGGCACAATACCCTATGCCTCCTCCAATACCACAGCCAGACCACTGTCACCTGGTAGGTATCTTAGCAAGTTCATATCGGGGCACAATACCCTATGCCTCCTCCAACACCACAGCCAGACCACTGTCACCTGGTAGGTATCTTAGCAAGTTCATATCGGGGCACAATACCCTATGCCTCCTCCAATACCACAGCCAGACCACTGTCACCTGGTAGGTATCTTAGTAAGTTCATATCGGGGGACAATACCCTATGCCTCCTCCAATACCACAGCCAGACCACTGTCACCTGGTAGGTATCTTAGCAAGTTCATATCGGGGCACAATACCCTATGCCTCCTCCAATACCACAGCCAGACCACTGTCACCTGGTAGGTATCTTAGCAAGTTCATATTGATGCACAATACCCTATGCCTCCTCCAATACCACAGCCAGACCATTGTCATCTGGTAGACAGGTTTCTTAGTGTGTTCAGATCAATGCACAATAGTCTGTTTCCAACACTACAGCCATACAACTGTCACCTGGGAGATATCTTAGTGAGCTCAGATCAGTGCCCAATAGTCTGTTTCCAACACTACAGCCATATGACTGTCACCTGGGAGATATCTTAGTGAGCTCAGATCAGTGCCCAATAGTCTGTTTCCAACACTGCAGCCATATGACTGTCACCTGGGAGATATCTTAGCATGCTCTTGGTGCACAAAAGTCTGTTTCCAGTACCACAGCCAGACCACTGTCACCTGGGTGGTATCTTAGTGAGCTCAGATCAGTGCACAATTGTGTATGTTTCATACACCACACCGATACAACTCATTCGGTAGGTATCTTAGCCTGATCTGTTTAAGTCTTCAAAACTCTTCTTATCACTACAGCCAGACTACTGTCATCTGGTAGGTATCTTTGTATGGTCAGATCAGTGCACAATAGTCTGTTTCCAATACCACAGCCAGACCACTGTCACCTAGGAGATATCTTAGCATGCTCTTAGCACACAATAGTCTGTTTCCAATACCACAGCCAGACCACTGTCACCTGTCACCTGTCACCTGGTAGGCATTAGTTTCAGTGCCCCCAACTCTTCTTGTCACCACAGGTAGATGAATGTTGGTTTGTATACATCAGAATAACAAGTTTGTTGCCTCTTCACAGCCAGTCAGTCGAACACACATTAGTTGTCCTAGAGCATCTTCCAAGAGAGAGGAAGGTCGGTGGTTCAATCCCCTGGCCTTGTACCTAAAGATGTTTAGACTACATAATACTTGTTGTTTCCCTTCCTGGTGCTTAACATTTAGTGATTAAAACAAGTACTGGCCGGCTTGGTGCCAGTATAATGTATCTGCATTAGGTAGCCATGGTAAACTATGGCATGGTATCTCAATGGGAAGCACAATAAAAAGTCTGGACTAGTACAAGCACAGACACACACACACACACACACACAGACACACACACACACAGACAGACACACACACACACACACACACACACACACACACACACACACACACACACACACACACACACACACACATATCTTGGAATGTCTTGGAGTCTCTATATGAGTGAAATGATCTGGAACGTGACATAAAACTCAATTACACTTCACCTCACATTGGTGGTCCATTATAGTGTTTGCGAATGTTTCAGAAGGGGGCTGTTGTTTGTTATGTTTGCCTGGCTGGATGTGCTTTATGATCTAGTTTGCATTTCATGTCTACAATCACTTCTGATCTATCTATGTGATCCAGGCACCAAGAGCACACTTCATCCATAATCCATGTGCAGCATCTTACAGCCTTTGCCTTGCTTTGCCTGTGTCGCAGATGTTCCTTATCAGGCAGGCTTTTATCGTCATGTTTCATTGTGATTTGGAAAGTAATGTGAAGCCATCATTCTTGATTATCCAACCTTTTTCAGTAGATATTCTGTGCAAAAACAGTTGTTGAAAATTCTAAACATTGTATAAAACAATGGGGAATCTGAGGGTACCCCCTGCTTGTAACAGGAGCCAACAGAAATGGGGATCGAGTGTCACAATCTAGTGTCCTGTACCCTGTTCCCAAAGTGATCTTAGTGCTGAGGTGATCGTAACTGCCATACTTTAACAGTGGTATGATCACTTTGTGGAATGAGCCCCTGGCTGACCGGTACTGATGTTTGCTTGTGGTATTAACCACTAGCCTGATTACATTCAGGCTGATATATATCTATATGTAGCACTGCTGATTATCGCTCTCTGCCTGGAAATAGACTAAATAAATTATTCTTGGTTCCACTGCTTCATTCAATAAAGCCTGACACCTTAATGATTAAAAGGAAACCCTCTGAGACTAGTTTAGTAGATAGCTCATATTTTTACCCTAACCAGAAAAGGTGCTGCACTCCCCAACAAAAATCTCTAAATTCATTTACAATTGTGACTACTAACACTTAAATAAAAATGGCACAGACAGTTTGTGGACCTGTGCACAGAAAAGGATAGATAATCAAGCATGATTCACTCCTTCATCTCCTCCCCTCCAACTTCTCATCCTCCACCCCACCTCATCCTCTCCTCAACCTTCTCTCACCATCTCCCCTCCACCTTCTCATCCTCTCCACATCTCTCCTCCTCTCCTCCACCTCTTCTCTCTTCCACCTTCTCATCCTTCTCCACTTTCTCCTTTCGCTTCTCCTCTCCTCCACCTTCTCTGCTTTTCCTTTTCCTCCTCACCTCCACTTCTTCTCTCCACCTACTCCTCTCGACCTGTTCCTCCACCTTCTCCTCAACCTTCTCCTATCCTCCACCTCTCCTCTCTTCATTCTCATCTCCTCTACCTCTTCTCTCCTTTCCACATTCTCCTCTCCTTCTCTCCCCCACCTTCTCTCCTCCACCTTTTCTCCTCCATGCCTTCTCCTCTCCTCTCCTATCTGCCTTCTCCTCCTCTACCTGACCCGTGAAGATTCCGGGGTAGAATAGGTCTTCAGCAACCCATGCTTGCTGTAAGATATTATGGATTGTCTGGTACAGACTCGATTATTTACAGACCGCCGTCATATAGCTGGAATATTGCTGAGTGCGTTGTTAAACAACAAACAAACCAACCAACCTCCTCTACCTTCTTGCCACCTCATCCCTCTCCTCTCCGCACTTTTCCACTCCCTCTCCTCTACCTTCTCCACCTTGTCATCCCTCTCCTCTCTGCACTTTTCCACTCCATCTTCTCTTCCCAACCTCATCCCTCTCCTCTCCACCTTCTCCTCTCCCTCTCCTCTACCTTCTCCACCTTGTCATCCCTCTCCTCTCTGCACTTTTCCACTCCATCTTCTCTTCCCAACCTCATCCCTCTCCTCTCCACCTTCTCCACTCCCTCTTCTCCTCTCACTCTCCTCTACCTTCTCCACCTTGTCATCCCTCTCCTCTCCTGCTTCTTCCCTCAACCTTCTCCTTCCCTACTACTTCTCACATTCTCTTCCTCCACTCCTCCTTTACTCTCCTCCTCAACCTTCTCCTCTCCTCTACTTTCCCTTCTCCACCTTGAAACCTCCACCTGCTCACCCCTTCCCTACCTTCTCTCCGTCCCACCGTCTCATGTCCTTCCTCTCTTCCTCCGTTTCCTTTTCTCTCCTCCACAGTCTCCTCCTCCTTCTCCTTTCAGTATTTCTTGGTGTGCTCACTCATTCACCCATCGTCACACATTGTGTTGTTCTGCTGCCAGGTTTGACGTTCGTAGCTAAAAGTCCCCCGAGTCCGATGAGACGCAGTTTGCCGGGTCAGCCTTTCCACCCTCCCTCGCACCCACCTGGCCACACTCCTGGTCATCAGTCAGGCCCACACACGGGGTCGGTGGCAGCAGCAACGGTGACAGCCCCGCCAGCGTTCCTCCCTGGCACATCGCCACCAGTGTTCAGCAGCATGCCTGTGGTAAACCCAAACATCCATGTGAGTTTCTGTGGAACATCATCAGCTCCATCGTTGCATTATTTGGTACTGCAGCATGCATCTTTCTTGTTGGCTGTTTGTGTTTTGTTTGTAAATGTTAGCTGGTTCAACGTGCAGCTTTGCTGCTCTCTTTTGTAATTATACAGTCTGACATGGAAAGCTACCAAAATACTCTCCACACATTAACATTTAGCATGTATGGTCTAAGAAACCTTAATACACAAATAGATGTTTCTGTTTTTAAATTATTATGTTTTATATTTCATAATCATGATAATATAGGGATCTATGTTTATCCCCCCGTTTTGAATGATCAGCATGTCCATCCGTCCGTCCATCCATCAGCGTCCATTTTCCATTTCCGGAGCAGAACTCCAAAACCGTTAAATATTTCTTATGAAACTGTCTATATAGATCAGTCTAGTTAGGAACTGGTGCTTTTTGATGATTTGGGATATTTATTCTTTTCTTCTTCTTTTTTTTGTTGTCATGATTTTTCATGATGAAAACAAGTTGTTTTCTGTTTCCTCAGCAGAACACCAAAATAAATATTTCTAGTTGAAACTTGCTATAAAGATCAGTCTAGTGGTGAACTGGTGACGTTTCATTTGGGATTTTGAAAAATACTGAACAGCATTATTTTTATCTAAGGGCACTGAACCAAAGATGGGGTATAAGTAGCCAAATTCCATCAGGGGTGAGATGTCATCTGTTGATGACTCTTGGTATCATCTAAATTGATATGGATCATGTACATAAAATGAGATGCAGTTATTCTGCAGTAAGGGTGCAATGCTATAATATTTTCCTTAGTCTAGAGCAGAAACCGCACGTTATAAAATATATATATATATATTTATACAGAACAAGACGATACTGACATTTATATTCTACTCAAAAGAAGTAACAACATTTGATCCTTTCATATGACAATAGTTAATCTGTCATGCCAGGACAGATTTAACTTCTTTTGAACAGTATATATGAAAAGTCATATACCAACAATTCTGTACAAAATGTGAATATTTGAATTATCATTTGGTCGTAAGTTGTAAAAGGATGCTTGACAACCCAGTCTTATCATTCATCTTATAACCACTAGTATATCAGGAATACAGCTAAACACATAGACTAACATTTAGTCTCTGAATTGAACATATCGTACATAAAAAAACAGTTGTTCAGTTATCTTAATAAAAATATAATAAAAAGGAGCCCAGTGACTCTCTTCATTTTCAGAAGATACTGCAGTGATCTAGACTTGCCAAACATTATAGACTTGCATGGGCTATTTTTGATATATATTTGTATCAGGGTCTGTAAGACAGACTACTAAACACATTGCAATCCCAGTAGTAAATAGGGGTGTCATGGCATGACAGAATAACTATAATAATAGGAAAGAGTCTGGTGATCCTTAACTTCTTTTGAGTAGTATATATACTTAAGCATGTATTGTTACTTTTTCCAATACAGGATTTATTTTCAAGTTTTGCACAAATGATCGTCAATTTAAAACAAAGTCAATATCCACAGTCATAAAATAAAATAGAAATGGATTAATTGCTGGGTTTTTTCCGTGACTTTGCTGTGATGGTTTACAAACATGTCCTCATGTCTTCTCTGTCAAATAGTGTAGCCTAAGTGCTCTTGCTAGCTTTGGCCTATCATGAAATTAAATTGGATATTGAATCTGATTGGATACTATTAGAATATGCCTAAGTTAACCAATCACACAAATACCTTTTGTCAGCTGGGCAGAAGGAAGATTGAATCTTTTAAAACACTGTATCCAATAGGGCTGGGACGAGTCCAAATTTACTACCCGGGTACCCGAACCCCTATTACCCGACCCTACCCGGGTACCCGCTGTAGGTCTCAAGAAATGGGAACAAAATGTCTGATTGGTATTTGTTTGACCGCAGCCCTGGCTAAAACTATTTAGATACATGCGTTCACTGAAGTTGACTGAAGCTTTATCTTTACTCAAACATTTACAAGTCAAAAGGAATCAATGCACCGTCAGAAAGAAATGCGAACATTAGCGACTTGTAGTGTAACCACTGAGCTATAGTGAGTTTTTGCCATTAAACAATCTATCACGTAACTTACCACGGGTCCGGGTAGTCCTGTGGGTACCCGGGTCCTACTCAGGACCCACCCGACCCGAGTACCCGAGTTACCCGTTCCAGCCCTAGTCCGTCAGGGAAGTACTTAGCCGTATAAATCTCCTGTGTGTAAACCATTATGATGATGTCACGCTGAGCCAGTAATTCATTGTCCATTCTGAACAAGTAAAACTGATGGAACTGTAAGTCATTATGCATATTTATAGAGTTTATTTATCAAATACAGCATGTTTTTAGTTGGAGATATCATTCATATATGTTGATTCACGGTGTAGAGTGAACAAATTCTCATGATTACTCAATTAGGGAATCTGTTACTCAGATATTGCTGTGCATGTCCAGTGTAGGAATTAGTATCCAAGGTTCACTGGCCAGGACGGCTTGTTAACTGTAAATGTTGCATATTTTACTAGCCCTACTTTATGGAGGTCACCATTTGCAAAATGTATTAAAATAGTCTTGAGATTATCATGTTTAACAACAGCGAAGCTGATAGGTTGCTTGGTATTATACATTTGTGGTGGTTCTTCGACTTTCACAGCCACAGCTAATTGCATATGTACATGCAGTCAATCAGTGTACAGAAATAACCCAGCTTCCAATAAACTACGGAATGAAAACAAAATGACAATTAACTTTGACCTTAAATGATGCCTCAACTGACTTGATGATTTGTAGAAAATACAAGAAATAAATAAGTATTGACAAGAATTTTCAAATAGACATTTGGGCCAGCTTGACGGAAATGTTACTAGCCCAATTTAAAGTCACTGGCATTTGACTAGTGGGCAGGCAACTATTTCCAGCAGTGAACATGTCATGCCATGAGGTAGGTACATAGAATACCTTCACTGGGACCCCACCAGATATGGTTTCCAGTACATTAGATTCAGAGAGTCACAGTAGTGAATACCTGTCCTTGGATTGTCAGTAGGACAGGGGAGATAACTCTATCATAACCTTCATGATCATATATCATACACTCTTGTCCACTGATTTGCCTGGTCCAGGTTTGAATCCAAAATGATGAACCAGAAGCAAGCTCCCACTGTGTATAAACAAAGAGGTCATTCCAGCCATCATAGTCCCCTTGCCCTTATCACTAGATTCCAAATCTCATGTGCGCCTGTCACCATTCTCGGTCTTTAAATCATTTTTCGACTCCACTCATTTCACTCACCACCTGAATGAACTTCCAGTACTGACGTTTTACATCATCCCTTTCAGAAACCCAGACCCAGCCCAGAAAAATTTGCAAAACCAAGCGCATTGCCGAGCGAGAAGAACGACAAGACATGATAGTAAGCATGGCGGTCAACAAGCGATTCCACCGATCGAACAAGCCCAACTCTTATCCAATCAACTGATGAGTGTTGTCTTGCGTTCTCAAGGTGCTACATAGCCTTGGATGTTGTTGGTCGGTGATGGAGGAGGGCTGACCGCTGCCGATTTTCTTGTTATTGCTGTCAACTGTGAAGTTGGAGGCTTGCTGTGGATCTCTATCAAGGCTTTGTGCAAAGTTACCAAAGCTTAGCGGAATGTTTTTTTCAATCCCCAGTTGTTGAAAATAATTTAGATACAGTTTTTATTTTTAAAACATTAAAAAATGATGGAACAGAAAATCAACAGTTTTAAAAAAAAAATTAAAATATAAGGAAATGTTACGGAAATTGTTTTTGCATTTCGATTTCAGTTGTATGTTCCGATTTCTTTTCAAGTAATGTTATGATTCAGAAGAGTTATTCTTTTTCTTTGATCACGGTGGAGAGAAACAAACTTGTTATTTTTGTGCAGTGTTATTTTCCTACACCATGTACACGATGACCATCTTATTCTGTGATAAAGAATGATGTGGGAGTATAGGTTATGTGTTCTCAGTCTTTATTTCAATGGATACAGGAGTCCATATCTGTATGGGAAGATCTTGTTAAGCGTACATATTTTGTATTTTGTATTTTGAACAATCCTATCATCCCTTTCTGTCATTCTATCAGCCTTCGAAAATCCACCAATGCATAAGACCTGAAATGAGTCCGTGTTTCCTATGTTGTCACTGTGACGTGAAGCTGTGTATATTTGTTATGGTGATTCCTCTGTGTTATGTGTGAAGATCACATATCAGGCATTGTTGATTGTTTTCAGGTGTAATGTATTTGCTGTGGTGCCTCGTCATGCGACTTGTCAGGGCACAGGAAGTCAAAGAAGACCATGTATATACAAACACAGATATATTTATGTTGTTCGTTCAGACATCATCTTAGAGAAGTGCCTCATTTTTAAGTGTCCCTGGGAAAGTCCAGGGCAGATAGCTTTTTCCCCGTACTTGTTATTGAAGTGTCCCTCCTACTTGTCATAAAAGTGGAGATTGGTTGGCCACAATGGTTGCTGAAAATGGATATACCAAGTATTGGGGACAATTTTCCTCTGCCAGTTGGCTGATTGAAGGCCTGGTCTGGAACTAGCTGATTGAAGGCCTGGTCTGGACCTGGCTGATTGAAGGCCTGGTCTGGACCTGGCTGATTGAAGGCCTGGTCTGGAACTAGCTGATTGTACATTACTGTAGCTCTGTCGGGTCGATGCTTAGGCTTAAAAAAATAAAAGAATTGGTTCTCGGGCAATGGCTTTTGAAAATTTAGTGCAGGCGGGCGATCCTTTTTTTGTGTGTTTTTTTTTTTGTAGTTCAAACTAGTATGTAACCAAAGGTGAATTTTGGTGAAATCATATTGTTCCTAAGTATTGTAGCATTTCACTGCCAGGGTTGTGTATTCAAGATGCGGAATAATTAAAAAAAAATTTTTTTTTAAATGGAAATAAAAACAAAACATGCGGCAGACTTTATGGTGATGTGGGCGGTGCCTGAGAACCAAGACTATTATTTCTTTTAGCCGTACAATAGTTGGCTTGGCCCCAGACCAAGTGACCCTTAGATGAATTTAGTGATATAGTTCATTATTTCTGACTTTGAAAACCCTCATTTGAAACTGTATTTTCAAGATCATAGTACAAGCATTTTCCTTTTCACAATGTTGTGTTGATATCCAACTGTGTAGTTGGTTGTTTTTGAAAATGTGGAAAAAATTGCACTAAACTGTTTTACCAATTTTGTGAACAATTTTAGACGATTCTAAGTTCTGATTCTTTTTACGAGATTAATTTGGACAATGGTGGTCAGACAGATGTGACCTGGGAATATCACATGATCTTCTTGAGCTTTCCATTTTCATGTGTTATATATTTGTTGTTAAGGGTGCAAGATCAGAACTATACTGCGTTATTTTTCAAGAATCTTTACTCATCATAAAGTCTGCCAGGAACCAGTCTGTAGGGAGGGAGATATTGGAGTGTCGGAATCTGTGCATGCACACATGTTGTAAAAATTTTGGTAATATCATGAATCGGTCATGCTTAGCCAATCATCTTTGTTGTTGTTGGTGAAAGATGAAAATTTAATTAAAGGACTTTAGTGACATTTGACTCTAATTGTATGTAAAAAAGAAAAAGAAAATTTACAAAATCTCACTAAAATTTGTTTATGTTGAAATGAGGATTCATTCTGAAATACAAAATACATAGCAAAGTTTGAAGTGATGTATGCCGATAAGAGTTACGGCCCTTCAATATGACATAACTTTTTGCGCAGTCTTTTAGGTGGGAAAATGGCCACATTCATGTGCCTTGTGATAATTTTAATACAAAAATTTGACCACTGACATTGCAAGAACAAAACATAATTCTGTAACCAACTTAAAAAAATTAATTGCCTAACAATGCTTCTTTGGAAATCAGTACTTTCATGATTGGGGACGTGTTCTCGTGAAAGATGAACGTGAGTAGCATTGAATTAAACCTTTGTGGTTACAGATATATCTGCGTAATGTATAGCCAAGTTCTTTCTTTATCAAAACGTGAGGTGTATGAAGGCTATAAAAACGCATCCTGTATGTCTCTGATCCTGCAGCTCTCATCATCAGTCTGTAACTCCTTATCATGTATAGAGAGACTTCTTGAGAAATGTTATTGTGTTGAAAGACACAGTCATACTGAAACTTGCATTCCTCTTAAACAATGTTTTAGTATTGTGTATGCTACTAACCTTCACACCAGAGTGGCTTAGGCTGTAGTAAAAGGCATAGTTACCTCCCTTAGATCCTAGGGCTGCTGCAATACAACAGCTGTAAATATTACTGATACAGAGTGCCTGCTTGGTATAGGCCTTCATGCCTTGTAGTGCTAAATGGCCTGCACAGCAAAGGGAGGGGTAGTTAGCGGGAGTTGAATACTTCATGCAGGGTGTATCTCAGCTGTACAAGCCTACAAGGTTGAGGACATTTATTGAAGGGGTGGTTGGCGACAGATTCAGGGGAGGGTTGCCTAAAACCATCACTTGAGGTTAGTCGGTGTTTAAGTACATTCATAGTTATACCAATATATCCTCCCCAAAATAAAGTCTTTAGTAATACCCACCAGCCTTGACAGATTAACTACAGTCATAGAAAAAAATAGGGTGTTTTACTTCTTTTGAGTTGTGTACAATTCCACGTTTTAATGACCAGTTCCCAATGGATTGTTTATAGGCCAGACCAGTTTTATTTTTATTTTTTTATGGATGAGTGACCAAGTCCACCATTATTTTACAAAAGTAAAAATAAATAAATTGATTAACAATTTTGTTTATCAAATAACCATATTTTTTGGTCACCTGTATTTGTGTTTGCTTGCATTTTGCTATGTTTACCAAACAATATTCAAATAAAACGTTTAATTGGTTTGGCCTCAAACGAAAAACACTGATATTGACTCTGTATTTGTTTGCGCATATAAACTACTCAAAAGAAGTTAAGGAACAGCTGGTTTGGGTACTCTTTATCTTCTTTTGAGTAGTATATGGTGCTACTCCGCAATGAAGTGTTGCTCTGTCCATCAATACCAGTATAGTGCACCAATTCTCTAAAATATTAACCTGCATAATTTCTTTTGTCTTTCATTTCAATAACTGTCAGCTTTCGTTTATGTTGCTTGTGTTTGTGACTGATGTGTTTGTGATCAGTATGGGTGTGAGAAAATACAGAACACTGTATGCGTTCATCTACTGCCACTGTGTGTGGATATGTCTATAGTTACTGATTAGCCTTGGACCCAACCAGGAAACCACAGCTTATCAATGAAGTCATGTGTTAATTCTGATCTCTCCTTTCTATGTGTGCATAAGCATTCCTTTATCATTCATTATAAATGATGGCGATATATATTTTTCTGATGTGAGCTATACTACTAAAAAAGGTTAAGGATCACCTGATTCTTAACATTACTATAGTTAGTCTGTCATGGCATGACAGATTAACTATAGTAACACGAAAGAATAGTGATCGTGAACTTGTTTTTTGTAGTGTATGTTAGATACTGTAAACAGTTTCTTGATCAGTTGATGGTTTAATATAGTGGTATATTTTGTCTGTTTCCCAATGAATATGTCCACAGAAACAGGGCAGTGAAGCCGATGGAGGCTGCTAGTTTTCTGTAATTTGTTTAGATTTAGATTGTTTGGTGACCTAATGATTTTGTAGCTTATTTTGTAACCATGGTACTGTTTAAGTGAATGAAAAATGTCAGTCTTCTATAGCAATGTTGAGAAGAGAATCTTTCTTTCCTGTAGAACAATGCCATGCTGCACAAAGATTTTATACTACTCCACATTTTATAGGGTTATTTTTATCTTTCCATGATACACAAAACTGATTTTTTTATTTAAAGGGACGATCGGGTAGCTGAGTGGTTAAAGTGTTCGCTCGTCACGCCGAAGACCTGGGTCCGATTCCCGACATGGGTACAATGTGTGAACCCTTTTTCTGGTGTCCCCCGCCGTGATATTGCTGGAATAATGCTAAAAGCGGCGTAAAATCAAACTCACTCACTCACTCACTTTTATTTTTAAAAGGGGCGGTCGCGTAGCCTAGTGGTTAAAGCGTTCGCTCGTCATGCCGAAGACCCGGGTTCGATTCCCGACATGGGTACAATGGGTGAAGCCCATTTCTGGTGTCCCCCGCCCTGATATTGCTGGAATATTGCTAAAAGCGGCGTAAAACCATACTCACTCACTCACTTTTATTTAAATAGAATGACCTCTGATTATCCCTGTCAAAAGTTGAGGAGTATATTTAAGGTATGTGTGTCTCTCTAGGTGTGAGGCTCAGGAAGGTGCCCTTTTCTGTCAAATATCTTTTTGCCATTTCTATAAGAGAAGTCTGGCATCATATTTTGACCAATTGACACTGTCTGAAGATTCGGATACTAGTATGGGTATCATCCAGAGTAATATGACCCTGAAGAACTGCCATAGTTCATGAATGTGGTATGAGTAATGAGTGCTGCAGTCAGCTGTGATAGAGATTGTTAAACGGGCAGATAGGAGACTCTCGATGTATATGCATTGTTGTTAGGAGTTTCAAGGGTAGACTGGAACCTTTTCCATGACAAAATAAGTTGATTTTTTCTGATTTCAAATTAAAACATGCACATTGTCAACATACAGTATAGGGACTTTTGACATTTGTTCAGAAACTTTATGTAAAATGCTACTGTTGATACGTTTCTCCACTCATTCATGGTGTCCAACAGGCTTTCAGGGCTTTTTGTGTCCAGAATTAGCTTTATAAACTATGTGTTATATTTTTCTTTGTCTTTATCTTTTTTAGCTTACATCAACCAAACATTCACTTGTTTTCATCAGGTTTGGGCTCGGCGATGTGCTGTGCAGAGTTATATGCCTTAGTCACACCAGAATGCCATGTTGAAATGGTAGATTCCCCCCCTTAATCATTGTTCTGTTAGCAACTTTGCCATGCTTATGTTTTGACAAAAGTTTAACCATCTGTGAACTGTGTTACTCTGGGTTTGCCTCCCACATTAAGCAGACATGCCATTAAGACTTGCAGATGCATCCCGATCGTGGCAAGTGGTAAACGTCTGAGACCTGCATCACTTGGGGGCTTTCCGCCCACATTAAGCTGACACGCCGCGATATAACTGGAATAATGTTAAAAGCGGCGTTAAACCCAACTCACTCACTCACTCACTCACCCTACCCAACAGTAGACTCAGTTGATACCCGACCAAGCATGTGTCGGGTGAAATATTATCACCACTTGCATCTCACAGTCCAGACGAAGGAGCTTATACCAAGCCTCTTAGCACTTACAGTGATGCTTGTTATATTTTATTTTAGTGGCCATTTATCATTATGTCCTATGTTGGATGTGACAGACTTACAAACCAAAGATGCAACCACAAGAGTGTTGCTTGTTTCATGTACTTGCTTAGTGTAGGATCGTTACCCAAGTTGGACACTGTCCGACAGCTTGATACTGTACTCATCATCATTAAGACGGGGGTTTCGCAGGGTCGGATTCGAGAATATTTCACCATGTGATACCGTTAGCAACATAAATATACTCTGTGTCATGTTTGACACACTTTATTTGCTAATTATTTCAGTTGTTGCGTGATTCTCAGACCTGAATGTGTTTGCACAGGAAAATGTATACCAAGGGACCGTTTCACAGAATCTGCATGTTTTGAGAAACAAGCTAAACTTTTAGAAAACACAATGAATGTTATCAGGTGGGTTCAAATGAGAAGAAATTTAGCTTGTGCATTTTAACATGTGCATGTCATGGACTTGTCCAGCTGATTTGGGAGTTTTTCTGTAAGCGTTTTTGAGTGGATCAAAAAAATTTCGGGGATGGAGAGTACAAGCAACTGGTTCATTTCTTCTTGGCTCATGGACTTTCTGAGAGATAGTTTTCTCTTGATGTTTGAAAAATCTTCTTTCTTTTTAATAATTCATTTTAGTCCTTCTTAAGTACGTAGTCATGTCAGAAGTCCAAGAAAAAGTCAAGTCAGTCATTTAAACATGTATGATAATTTTCAAACTAATATTTCAAAGTTTCCAGTGGGACAAGAAGCACCTTTTATCTGACCTCAACTTTTCCTTTCATACACGTGTATGATGTGAAGAATTTACTGTTGCTCCTGTGTCATGGACTGGCGTCCATACTTACAGTTTGCAAATTTCTGTATCTGCCTGAAAAGTATCAATTGGTGAATTCCTCTCCTCCCCTCCACCCTATCTACAGACCTGAAAGAAAGCAGCGTAAAACATACTCTCACTCACTCACTCACTCACTCACACGCTCCCCCTTACCAGAAATAGGGATTCAACATAGAAAGTAATGCGATATTGACAGTTACTGTTCTGCTGACTAGGGTATGATCAACAGTGAAGAACCAAGAGTCTGATAGACAGATATCCAGTTTGTGGGTTGTTTATGGGGCTTGGGACTTAATATGTAGAGTATAATATCACAGTCGTAACAGTGTCCAGTTAATTTGTCGTTTTATATATGTATTACAAAGGAGGGATTAAAGTGTTTATATTCATGTGATAAAAAACTAAGTTGTGTGATATTAACATTATTTCCTGACCAAGGGAAACAGGTTGATTTTTAAATCAGGCCTCAACGTATTGGTTAAATTTCATCCTTGAATATATTTTGTCTTTGGCTAATTGTAACCCAAATAATGTAAACAAATTGAATTCTGGTTCTTGTTTGAAAAGGTATTTTGACATTATTTCCTTTCTTAAAATGCACAGAACATTTCGAACATTGGTAACTCTGGCTTGACTATCAGTTTGGTCTTCAGGGTTATTTCTAAAGAAATATTGACTTTATTCCCTCCAGCCTGATCTACAGTATATTTCATTCTCGCACAGAGAAAGATGTTCACAGTTTTTGCATTTGATGTTATACTGGATATCACCATGTATAGTGACAGAACTCGCCTGATTGGTGCTGATTGTATCGGAGTAATATCCAAATATATGATTATGTAAACAAATAGTTTTGTAATGCAGGTAATTAAGTGTTTCATTTGTGCTGATGTCAACAGTTATTTGTGTTAAAATATTATACTCAAGTGAGAAGCGTTTCCTTTCCTCAGTATCTGTTTTAGTGGATATTGTATTTACGAGAATGAGTTTTGATAAATATTCAAAATGAGTAGTTTTGATGAAAAGTTTTGACTGTAAAGAACTGTTTGTGATTATAAGAACATTCTAATTATGTATTCCGAGTCAGATTTGTTTGAGTCAGATTATGATATTTTAGGATTAAAGGTTTTACATTTGAAGACACTTTAACTGTATGTCTCAGTTGATTCACGGAGATACTTGGGTTAATTGTTCCCATGTAGGAGATCAGATTCAGTTGCTTTTATTTGAGAAGAGAGAATGTCCGAACAATTGATTTAAGTGTGGGAAATTCAACTATTGTGTATGTGATTTGGTGTCTCTTGTCAAACATGTTTGACATTTGACAGTATGTGTAAATTATTGCAATGTGCTTATATTGAATGTAAATAATTGTACATTAATGGAGCCAATAAATTTTAATATACACTTTGTGTTTGTTTGAAAATAATCATCATATCTTGGACTTAATGGTGTGAATGTATTTATTTAATATAAGGGAACACTTCTTCAGCAACCTGTGCTTGCCGTAAAGGCGACTGCTTGTCGTAAGAGGCGACTAACGGGATTGGGTGGTCAGGCTCGCTGACTTGGCTGATGCATGTCATTGTATCCCAATTACATAGATCGATGCTCATGATATCAGTCACTGGATATAGCTGAAAACCAAAGTTGTAAATGTCTAAAACCTTTGTCACTTTGGACATTGCTCCCATACACTAAGCTAACGTGTTGTGAAATTACTAAAATACTTTTCAAAGCTGTCTGAAACTGAATCACTTACCTCTTCCATATCATCAAACTTGCAAGATGGTTTGTTTGTTTGTTGTTTAACGCCGCTCGCAGCAATATTCAAACTACATGACGGCGGTCTGTAAATAATCGAATCTGGACCAGAAAAATCCAGTGATTGACATCATGAGCATTGATCCATGCAATTGGGATACGGTGACATGTGAGTTAATAGGTACGAGGAGTGTTCATTAAAGATTTCCCCTAAACACTTAGGGTTATCATATTTGGTTGAAATTTCACATGTGTAATGATACATGTATCTATGGGTTGGTTATGTCTGAATTTGCAGCACCGAACTATTAATCTTACCACTTTTACAGGTGTTATGATCGAGTAGGGTGTGACAATGGAGCCAGTAGAATACCGAGCAGTGATTAGGTTTTTATATTTGAAAGGTCGCACACCAAAAGAAACTTTCGATGAAATGAAAGCAACTTATGGGGAAGATGCCCCATCATATGACGTTGTTAAACACTGGCATCGCCAGTTCAAGCGTGGTCGGACATCTGTGGAAACAGCTTCCATTCCTGGTCGCCCCTATTCAGCCATTGATGAGGACACTATCCATCAAGTGGAGACCGCCATTTTGGCAGACCGACGTATAACTGTTTGCCAGTTAGCACAAGATGTCAAGATCAGTGTAGGGTCTGTGGAAAAAATCATCAATGACAATTGAACATGCATAAGGTGTCTGCACGATGGATTCCCAGGTTGCTCACACCTTTCCAAAAACAGGAACGAGTCAATTATAAAACGATGGGAGAAGTGTGTTACTCTTGGTGGTTCCTATGTGGAGAAAGACTAATACCTATGCCAAGTTTCATTCAACTAGGTCCATTGGAAGTGGGTCAGGGGAAATCTTTAATGAACACCCCTCGTAGTTGTTGCAAGTGGTCATACCTCATCATATGTTAACTGTATGTATTGTATAATATATCACAATGTTTTGCAATACTTTTTTATTAAATATAGAATAATAGAATATCTCTTTCAATGTTACAACATACACCCAACAGTCAAATTTTCTAAACATACAAAATTACATCACTGTCCTTATATTCTCAAAAATGGATATTCTGTCAACAAATAGGGTAAATAAAGGCCACACAACCCTTTCCATTATCAAAAAGACATTTCCTGAAAGGAGTGTCAATTGTACATTTCTAATATCATAAACATGTGTCGGAATAAATCACTATCAAATAGTGATGACCCCAAGTGTTCATCAACTTCACAGTTCATAGTTCATATTACAGTAATTGATCCTGTCATCAGTCACAAAGTCTCCAACACTTATTAGATCAATATTCATCACCACGAATAAACATTTGCATTATATGTGTGCTACAACAGAAGGGGCATGTAGTTATTCATCACTGAAGTCGCCACTAATTCCATAATGTTTGTGACATTGCCGAAATCATTTATCATACTTTATGCCTCACAGGGATGCCATGTGTGAACTCATTCTTGATGTAGTTGTGGTACAATAAGAAGGATTATAAAATCTCACTCACTCACAAAGAGAAAGATTTAGGGTTCAGTTTGGCCAAACCACTGACTTGATAAATGTGGGATTCCAATGTTGGTCAAGGTTACAGAATCAATATGTGGTCATGGTCAAGTACAAGGAACAACCCACAGACATCAGACTCTTGGTGCTGCAATGAACTTAAATGGCAGTGGGGCAAACGTTACTCCCGGCACAGCCTCCATGGTTGGCGGTTGCTCATCTTCAGGTTGTTGGAACCGGAAGCGCTGAATCATTGCTGTCAGGAAAAGGAATAGTTCCATCCTTGCCAGAGACTCCCCAATACAGGCCCGCTTGCCCAGAAAGAAGGGGATGAGTTCCTCGGGCTTCACAAACTTTCCATCGTCATCCAAAAATCTCTCAGGCTGAAACCTTTCCGGATCTTTGAAGGTTCCAGGGTTCATAAGCACAGAGTCAATGTTGGGCAGCACGATAACTCCTTTAGGGAATGTGTAGCCCCTGAACTTTAGGTCATGAGGCACACTGTGCCAGATTGACACAGGGATGATGTTGGCCACTCTCTGTATCTCAGCTATGGTTGCTTCAACATAAGGTAACTCCAGCTTGTCCGACATAAGTGGCAGCCTCTCTTGGCCGATGTTCATCTTGATTTCTTGGAAACATTTTTCTTGAATTTCAGGATATTTCAAGAGCAGTAGAACGGCCCATCGTATGGTAGTCGCAGTGGTTTCAGTTCCTGCAAGGAACAAATCACCAATTACTTTTTCCAGATTTTCTAAGCCAATGGACGACTCCGCGTTTTCACGCTCCTTCCGCTTAATCTCTCTTATGTAAGCTGATATATAATCATCAATGTTGGACTCATCATACTCTTTCAAATGCTCATCCATAGAAGGTTTTGTCAGATTGTTGACAAAGAATGCCAGATTCGCCAGTGTCCTTTTGAACTTGAATGGGTCTCCCGGAATATACCGAGCAAGTGGTATGAAGTTCAAGCCGGCTGTAGCTCCAACTGACTGAAGGTTTTCATCTATTTTAGCTGTCAAGTCCTTGAAGAATTGGTCGCCATAGACAAATCTTTTGCCAAGCACTATAGAAGTGATGATGTTGGCCACCGCCGTGTGGATCAAATCTCGGAAATCAAACTTCTTTCCTTTCATCCCTGCAATTTCATGCAGAAACGAGGCTGATTCTTCGTTAACCTTCACCTGCAGTATGTTCCTGCCCATCCCGAAGTCTCTCAGCGTGGACAGCGTGAAGCGCCTCTGTTCCTTCCAGACCTGTCCGGATGTTCCGGCCAAGCCCATGCCGTTGCTAACCTCGTCAACCACAAAAACATGAGGACGATCAGAGAAAACATCACCGTGCTTCACAAAAGCGTCTTTCAAGACCTCATAGCCATTCAAGATGATCACTAACCGATTACCAATATACACACTAAAAATGTCACCGTATTTTTTATGCCATTCTCGGAATTTCTTCTTCGGATTCTTCCCGATGGACAACGCATGGCCGACAAGCGGTAAGGGGAAACCTGGCCCCGGGGGTGTTCCCGACGGCCTCCTGAACGTCAGCCACAGCACGAGGGCACCAACACCACAACTGAGAATTGCTGTCAGATTGTCCGTGAAAAATATACTCAGCATTGTCGCTTTCATTCTTTTAAAATAGGGTATTTGGGCCTCACCGAGAGGATTGTTATTTCCTTCAGTAGACGGTATACACGAGTGTAGATTTACTCAGTCAAGATATAGGGACGTAGATATATACACCAGTCGTGATACAGGACTGTAGATGTAACTTCACACACCAGTCGACTTAGTTCCACCACATATTTGTACTAGTTATTTCAAGTGAACGCGTAAATATAGCCCCCCCTACGCGTACCGCCTGCACAAATCAAGGGAATGTACAGTGTGGCGAAACGGGAAGACGTGTATGTTGGATTTGAATCAAGGCCAGTGAAACTATGACAGGCTGTATGTGAAAAGGCGAAACATGGACCTCGGACCCAGATAGTATTTTATCAGTGGTTGATCCCGTATCAAAGAATATCTTCTTGGCCCACTTTACTTTGCCCTATATTGCTCTTATGTTTGGGACCGCCTCCGTGGTCTAATGGTAGAGCGTCCGCCCGGAGAGCGGAAGGTCCGGGGTTCAATCCCCGGCCGCGTCATACCAAAAGACGTTAAAAGATGGTACTTATTGTTACCCTGTCTGGCGCTCGGCATTAAGGGGCTAAAACAAGGACAGGTCGGCTCGGAGTCAGTATACTGTGTCTGAGTGTGGTATTCATGTTAAACTGCGGCATGGTATCTCAGCAGGCTTGCACTATAAATCGGCATCAGTCCGGACTAGAACAAGCAGCCATTTACACGTGCATGCACGTCGCTATATAAGTGCAATAATCTTGGACGCGACGTTAAACCCCATTTCACCTCACCTCACCTCACCTCTCTTATGTTTCTTAATCTGTACAGGGACAGGTGTCGCCGATTTACTGTGCAGACAGTAAGTTACATTTAAAACCACATGACCGACAATAGAGCTGCACATACACTTCATCCCAAACCTTCAGGTTCAACATCTGTATATTATCCTTTGCTACCGTTCCACAAGTGTGCCTCACTTTCCCTGAACCATATTATTTTCCCTTCCGCCCATCCCTGACTGGAATGCTATAACCCAAAATAAAGCAAGTCTATATGTTTAACAGGTTCAGGGCTGAATCTCCCATCTCTCTGAGGCTCCTTTCAATTTAAATGAAGTCGTTTGTTTCTATCAAAATTGCATTCTGAATAATCAATGTCCATTGGTTGTCAAATTTGATGACGTATATCGATCCATCAGTTCATGTTTACCCCATTTACGCAAAGACATAACTATATGTCAGACTGAGTCTGCATTGTTACATTTTTCATGAACGCAGGTGATTCTCACTGCTGCTCACTTGAGGCAAACAAAAGTCAGCCCTGTAGACTTTCAGTATACAGGTGACCCCTGGTTTTGTATATTCAACAACGGGAATTGTTACATTTTTCATGAACGCAGGTCATTGTCACTGGTGTTCACCCTTAAAGCAAACAAAAGTCAGCTCTGTAGACTGTCAGTATACAGGTTACCCCTGGCTGTGTATATTCAACCACAGGAATTCGTAGCTGTACACAAATAGAACTGTTTTTACTGACCCATGTTTATTGACCCATGACATTTGGCCTCGAAGGATACAATGGTCAGTAAGTGAGTCGATAAAATAGGTTTGTGAACAGCTGCCATCGAATGCTTGTGGTTCAACAACGCCATAACGACGGGAAAAGGACTGAATGTACATATATCCCTGCATAGTGCTTAACACAGTGCAGCAGTGCGTATTTACACAACTCGCAGCCCAGTTTTTTCAATGCGACGATGAACCCTGGAGGCGCACTTTGAATGCACATGCATTGTCCTTGGCCTGTGGCTAAAAATAACCTATCGCGTTCGTGTGACAACGAAAGCCTCGTTACCCTGTGAAGTAAATCTGGGTTGAACAGTGGATTGGGAGTGTGGTCCGAGGATAGAGTATACGGAGAGACACAGGGTAACAATGTTGGAAGAAGTTTTCACCGGATATGCGACTCCGATTCTGGTATCAGGGATATGTCTGCTTGCACTGTGGTTCAGTACCAGACGTCCATCCGGGCTTCCTCCTGGGCCGAGACCTTTACCTGTCTTAGGCAACCTGCTGTCCTTGAAACCTGACTTTAGGGAACAGTTTCAAGCATGGAGAAAACAACACGGAGATTTGTTCACTCTCTATCTAGGCAACCGTTTAACTATAGTGTTAAACGGATACGATGCAGTGAAGGAGGCACTGGTGAAGAATAGCGAGGTCTTCGCCGTGAGGCCCTACGCAGTTGTGTTTGACGATCTTTTCAAGAACAAGGGAGTGATATCAAGCAATGGGGACGTGTGGAAGGAACAGAGAAGATTAACCCTCTCCACGCTGAGAGACTTTGGAATGGGGAAAAATATGCTTCAAGAAAAGATCAATGAGGAGATTAGGGTTTGTCTTGAGGTTATCGCAGACCAGAAGGGACAGAAGTACGACACTAATCATATTATCCAGACATCTGTGTCGAATATTATTTGTTCTATGGTGTTTGGGAGACGATTTCAGTATGACGATCCACTGTTTATAGAATATCTGAGAAGGACAGACGAGAACTTCAAGGCAGCTGGGAGGCTTGGCGGTCTCAACTTCATCCCATTTGCAAAGCATATTCCTGGTGACCTTTTCCTGTATCACAAGACAGCTGAGAACATTGCGTTTTACGAGGACAGGCTGATAAAACCTTCCATTGAAGAACATCTCAAGGCTTTTGATGAGAATAACATCGACGACTTTATCGCTGCATACATCAGAGAGATGAAGGTTAAGGAGAAACAAGGCGTGGAGACGTCCATTGGATATGACAATCTGGTAAAGGTCATCGGAGATTTGTTCATTGCTGGGACCGACACCACGTCTACTACCATTCAGTGGATACTGTTGTATCTAACAGTTCATCAAGACATCCAGGCTAAATGCTTCAAGGAAATCGAAGACAATATTGGAACACAGAAACTGCCCGGGATGACTGACAAGCTGAAGCTTCCTTACATAGAAGCAACCATTACAGAAGTACAGAGGATCGCCAATATTGCTACCATAGCTGGATTCCATGGCGTCACCGAAGACATAGTATTCAGAGGATATCGCCTCCCCGCTGGGTGCATTATCTTCCCAAACTTAGACTCTGTCATGATGGATCCTGCAATTTGGGAAAATCCTGGACAATTTCGACCAGAGAGGTTTCTCGGTGCGGATGGTAAATTCACCAAACCCGAGGAATTCATCCCGTTCTCAATGGGTAAGAGGGCGTGCCCAGGAGAGTCACTTGCCCGGATGGAGCTGTTCCTGTTCATCACGGGTCTCCTCCAACGGTTTCAATTCTTGCCACCGGAAGATGAACCGCCGCTCTCGATGGAGCCCGTGCCTGGAGCAGTGCTGAAGTCTCAACCCTTCAAGGTCGTGACTGTACCTAGGAATTAGATTGTGTCGCTGTGTACTTTATAACTGAACAGGGATCGTGTAATTATGTTTGAAATATCACCAAGAGGGTTAGTTATTTTTGTTATACGCAAACCCGATCACCAATTACATTTTCGAATGTATATATGTTTAACGTGTATCAAAACAAAACGCAAGGATGTAGGGGTGGGGTGGATGATATGTTTGCTGGTTCCGTGTATGCATTGGAGATTAGCTGTTGGTACAGACTGATGCAAGGTATAGTTGCCTGTAGCTCTTATCTTACCATTACTCTTGTATGAAGCCAATGGAATTAAGAGAGGTAAACAAGTATTAAATTTTGGTTTGTATTTGTAACAAATGTGAAGACCATCAAGCGCAATGTATTCTGACTCCCCTATGAGTGAGTGGGTATGGATTTACGCCGCTTTTAGTAATATTCCAGCAATATCACGGCGGGGGACACCAGAATTGGGCTTCACACGTGCTAACGCTTTAACCACTAGGCTACCCGACCGCCCCTCTCCCCTATGATGTGTCTCGGTTTGATCACTGGCTGCTAACTCTCAATCGGACATTGTTATACTATCTCTAGTGAGCTGTGCTTGCTACAGCAGGTGAGTGAGTAGTTTTACGCCGCTTTTAGAAATCTTTCAGCAATATCACGGCCAGGGACACCAGAAATAGGCTTCACACATTGTATCCCCGTAAGGAATCGAACCTGGATCTTCGGCGTGACGAACGGACGCTTTGACCATTGGGCTACCTCATCGCTCCTCAACTGATATGCAGTTAATTGAAAGCCCGAAGTGACGCATATTCAGGTGGCAGACATTTACCATAAAACATTGGGCTGGATAGTTAGAGCGTTCGCTCGTCGCGGGTTCACTTTCCATTGTGGGTTTACTGTATGAAACCCAACACCAACACCGTGATATTAAATAATTAATGCCAAAAGCGGTGTAAAGCATCACCCACTCACGGTATCCAGCGTTTGTATGTAGTGCAAATTTTTCTGGTAGAATGTGCTCGGAAACGAGAACATACATGTTGCATAATTTATTCTTTTGTTGACTCTCGCTTACCCAGTAGTGCTGAAGTGGAACTTAGTCACTATTTGGTAAAATTATTAATTATGATATAATTATTAACTCATACTGTAATACTAAATGAATAAATATTATTAAGTCAACAACTATTTTTACAATTTCATATGTGATGTAGTAATATCAATGTTCAAAACATTTAAATTACTAAAACATCTAGAAAAAACATTAAATAAAAAAATCTAATGTTAGTCATCAGAAATTATAGTCCACTTTCTCACACCGTAACAACATAGGCGTAAATTCTACATCTGAATGGCAATGTGGCGAGCTGGTGCACTATTCATAGTATCACTAAGACTATTCTATCCAATAACCTCTTTCAGTCGGTCGATACCCTGCGCAGAGCAATGCGGCGGTGAGCCTGGTATAGTCAGCCTTAATCGCTTTATTGACTGAGCTCCTGGGCCGTTTCGATTTGACGAATTATGTGACAGGTAAAATGTGTCTCGACATGTCTGGGATTTGGGAGATGGTTGTTTATAACAGTCGTCCTTGCAGCTGCAACCTGTAAGTATGGACCAGCTAACGCAGATGATTTGTGACAATGTTACTACGACCTTGATTGTCGTTGGATCCGTGCTAGTTGCTGTGTGGCACTTTAGCAGACGACACTCACAACTTCCGCCCGGACCCAGGCTGCGCTTGCCTTTGTTTGGAAATATGTTTTCAGTTACACGGGGCATTAGAGAGGCGTTACAAGAATGGAGGAAGGATTACGGTGATATATTCTGTTTATACCTTGGACAACGCCGTGTCGTGGTGCTAAACGGTTATGACGTCATAAACGAAAGCCTTGTCACACACGGGCACTTGTTCGTGAAACGGCCAGACCTGTTCGTTTCTGAGTATCCCAATCATGGCAGGGGCGTTCTGGGGACGGCTGTGACAGTTGGGTTGGAACAACAGCGAATAGCTGACGTTTGTCTCCGAGGTTTTACAAGCGGATCCGGAAAGGACATTTTGGAAATTAGGACTGGCGAAGAAGTCAATAATTTACTACGGCTTATCAAAGAAGAAAGTCGTCGAAATTTGGACCTACGATCTTTTATTAACTTCGCTGTCACTAACGTCACATGTTCTATTTTGTTCGGCAAACGATTTGAAGATGATGACCCACTCTTTGTTGAGTATTTGAAACGACGACAAGAGGATTTTAGTTTGACGGCCATTTTAGAGTTTATGCCATACCTGCGTTATTTGCCAGGAGATATATTCAATATAAAACGTTTGGCCGAAAATGTTGCATTTACAGAGGATGAAATAATCAAACCTTCCATAAAACGCCATGAGAAGGATTTTGATGACCACAATGTGACTCTTGTATCGGCTTTTTTAAAGGAGTGCCAAAATCTGGGCTTGCCTGTGAATGATGACCATCTTGTTAATATTGTTGCAGATTTGTTAATTGCTGGGTCGGAACCCACAGCTGTTGCTATCCAGTGGGGTATTCTTTATTTCATTGCTTACCCTGATGTACAGGACAGAGTCTACCAAGAAATCAAACAGAATGTAGGCTTGCATCGTGTCCCGAACATGTCGGATATGGAAAGCCTCCCTTATGTTCAAGCAACTATTTCTGAGGTGCTGAGGTGTGTGAACGTAAATCCTTACGGTGCCCGGCGGTTTGCTTCCCGTGACGTTATGTTCCGGGGATACCTTATTCCAGAAGACACAATGATTGTACCTGTTTTAGAATCAGCGTTGTTTGACCAAGAACATTGGGACAACCCAGAAGAATTTAAACCGGAGAGATTTCTGAATGAGGAAGGGCATTTTGTAAAACACAAACAATGGATTCCTTTTTCTATTGGTCAAAGCTCATGCTTAGGTGAACAATTGGCAACTTTGGAAATGTTCTTGTTTCTCTCAGCAATGATTCAACAATTTCGGTTTCGGAAATCAGAAAAGTCAAAGTCGCTATCTTTCAATTCCGATACAAATTTGTCATTCAGACCTTATCCGAAGTGTGTTCAGTTGATTGACAGGCACCGTGTAAGCGAACATAGGAATAACATTCCATCATGCTACCTTCGTTAATGACATATTTGTGGTGTTCCCCCGCCGTGATATTGCTGGAATATTGCTAAAAGCGGCGTAAAACCATACTCACTCACTCACTCGTTAATGACATGGTTTGCAAACGCGGGTCACCTACACACCGCATGATGTGTATTAAATGATGTGTTACCAAGAATACGTGTGTTAGCAAGGGAGTATTTAAAACTGCATCCTCTATATCAGGGCTGGCATTTCGGTAAATCTACACTGACGCCTGGATCCATTCCTCTGGATCTTGCGATCGCTAATTACCCGCCATTGATTTTTATTAATATTTTACCGACCAATCAAACGTCGACAAAAGGGAAAGGGTAAGGGAGGTAACTCGTGTTACCTAGAAAACAGGCTATCCCCAGTTTTAATGGACATGAAGACCTCCTTTTAATCATTAAGATTTATTTAGGGCAATTTTTGCGTCACGTTTTCGGTCAGTTTTTCAGTGTTGAATTTCTCGCAAACTCGATCATGATCAATGGAACTGTCCAAACCAACAATAAGGCTTGTCTGGTACGTTAGACCTAGTAGCTAGTCTATCAAATTGTCAAATGTAAATCAAGGGCGGGTTAGAATGGATCCTGGGGTTAGTGAAGGTTTACCGACATGCGAGCCCTGCATATACAGATGTTTAAAGGGAGGTCCAGTTGCTAAAGTGTTCACATCGTGACACCAAAGACTGTACATAGTGTGAGCCCATGTGTTATGTCGTGATTTTGCTGGAATATTTGGAACAAGTGGCGTAAAACCATCCTCACTCACATTTTGAGGCGACTAACGGGATCGGGTGGTCAGGCTCGCTGACTTGGTTGATGCATGTCATCGATCCCAATTGCGTGGATCGATGCTCATGATGTCAATCATTGGATTGTCTGGTCCAGACTCGATTATTTACAGACCGCTGTTATATAGCTGGAATATTGCTGAGTGCGGCGTTAAACAACAAACAAACAAAACATTTTGATCTAGATCTAACGTCGTGAGTTCTGTGTATGTAACCACCACTTGTATTCCCTTGCGGAGACTTTGGTGTAAAAGAGGTGACTCCGACCTTGTTTGTGTAAGAGGAGACTGAGATGGAGCGGGTAGGCGCTGGGCTCGCACAAGGCGTTATGTTTCTAGGTTTGTCAGCACCGTACCCGTGCTCGTGGGTTTCACCGAAGTGGTAAACGTCTTAGACCTGCATCACTTCGGGCTTTCCTCCCACAATAAGCTGGCACGCCGTGATATAACTGGAATAATGTTAAAAGCGGCGTTAAACCCAACTCACTCACTCACTCGTACAAGGCGACATGGATCAGGGACTGCTCAGGAGGATCAACACTCAACCATGACTGTTCGTTCGCATGTTGTTTAACGCTGCATTTTACTGGTATTCGGCGTGAACCCCCGTAGTCGTTTGAGAATGAGTTGGTTTGTAGTAGTGAGGTAGAATCTCAATACGTATATATGCATTGGTATTGTAATTTATTTCATAATAATATTTACCTTGTAATTTATTGAAAATTGTTTTTTTCATTTTCATGGGTTTTTTAATAACTGTTTAACATTGTATTCATTGTACTAATAACGTCGCTAAATAAAGGTACATCAGACTCTCAAGCCTGTCGTTTGTTTAGAACAAGGCCTTTTGATCTCAAATCAGTAATTGACGTTCAAGGCTAAATTAAGAAGGGGCGCCTGACTTCGTTGATGCATGTCAGCGTATCCCAATTGCGTAGATCGATGCTCGTGACGTGTATCGATTATTTCCAGACCGCCGCCATAGAGCTGGAATATTGCTGAGTGCGGCATTAAGCAACAAACAAACAAACAAACAAACAATCAGACCGCCTCCGTGGTATGGTGGATAGGGTGTCTGACTGGAGAGCGGAAGGTCAGTGGTTTGAACCCCGGCAGCGTCATACCAAAAGACGTCAGTCACGCTAAGTGTATCTCTCGGAATGAACAATCAAGCCGGTAGTGGTACGGAAATGTACACACACACGCACACACGCACACAATGTCCACCCGCTGTCTCGGGTTTAATTCCACACACGGTACGGCGTGGGAAGCCTATCCTAGTGTTGTTTTGAAAGAGTATTTATAAAAACATGATATAGCTTTCAAATCATGCCACTTCTCCATTATCATAAAGGCTCTCTAATATATACATGGACAGACCCCGTGGTGATTCTGGGTTAGAATTGGTCCCCAGCAAACAAAGGTGGTCAATAGCGGGGGCCTAATTTATTACGTGTCATCGTACCTTTGTTGTTTGTTTGTTCTTTAACGCCGCACTCAGCCATATTCCAGCTATATGACGGTTGAAGATACTTTAGATAATTTTGCATCTAAGTTCGATGTTCTACGCGTTATGTTTGAATGCGTAAACGCCACACCCAGCATTATTTCAGCTATATGACGGCTGTCTGTAAATAATCAAGTATGGACCATACAATCAAGTGATTAACATCATGAGCATCGATCTACGCAAATGGAATACAATGACATGCATCAACCAAGTCAGCAAGCCTGAACACCCGACTACGTTAACCGCCTCTTACGACAAGCATGGGTTGCTGAAGATCTATTCTACCCCGGATCTTCACGGGTTTGTCGTCGTACCTCGACGGCGTAGATCGTTGCTCACAATATCGATCACTGGATTGTCTGGTCCTGTGTCGATTATATACAGGCTGTTGTGATTCAGTTAGAATATTGCTGAGTGAGGCGTCAAACAACAAACAAACACACAGACATACATGGTACATCTGGGACAAAATCGACAACAGCCGCACTAGTACTCAATATATATTTCAAAGACACAAGTAAGTCAATGTTAATGGAAATATACATATTTTCACAACACCAGTGGTGGTCGTCAGTTTGTCCGTTTAAGTTTATGGTGTTGGGGCATTCACCCGAATGTTTTGGGGAAGCCCACAACTCAGTATTGCTCAGGACGCCAGTGAACGATTATGTTTCAGTAAGATCTGATGACAAAATACCCCCATCACAACGCGCCAAATCCTGAATCTGTCGGTCCCTGACCAACTTCAGGTGCCATAATGTGTGCGTGTGTAGTCCACAGAGCTTCTTTGATACAACCGTGCGTGCGTAGTGTCACCGATCACGACGGATGGAGATAACAAAGCATTGTCAGTATGACTGTTCCCGCTGTAGCATCATCACAGCGATGACGCAATGGCATAACGTTTTTACAGAAAGGCTGAACATAGTTAGAAAGCACTAAAACGGTACTCGAAGAAACCCTTCATTTCGTAAATGACAGAAGTATTTCTGCCTTGATTTAAAAAGTCATTTTGAGATTTTGATGATTCTTGTTGAGGAAAATCATGGCATCGAGGTTCTTGGGTGGAATGCATGACCTTTGAACCCTGACGGGATCTCTGTCTGGGAGGAAGATATGCTCAGCCGGTCTGGAGGTGGCCATGACGCACATGTACTTCTTCGCAAGGCATGAGATGTTGGGGAAGATCTTCTCCCTCTCGTACCACCAGATCAGTGAGGTGCTAGATGTGATCTGCTTCTCCGCCATAAACCGGTCAATTTCCGAACTCACCATCTCCACCGGCGACATTTTGTCCAAAGGGACGTCATCCTTGTGACCTACTACATCGGACAGCCAGTCGTTTTCAAATTTAGAAGCAGGAGATTTAAACTTCATCCTCTTTTTAACAGGTTCTTCCGAACTAGGGCTACTTCCATGGACGTCCGATCCGTTCGAGATAGAGAATGGTGGTCCTAGGATGATGTTCTGAATGTATTCATCGTCACTGTCCACTTCCTGTTTGATCTGAAAGTCCGTCAAGAAAGGTCGCAGCGCTGCATCATAGAGCAGCCGCCTGGCCTTTTCTCTCTCGACAGCCTCGACATAACGCAGTTCTTTATAACGAGGGTCTAACAGTGAGCAGACGAGAAGAATATCCCGGATGTTGTCCGAGGAGTATGGAGAACGTATTTCCTTCCAGATGGTGTTCCGACACTCTTTAATCACTGGGCAGTCTGTTTCACCTCCAAGAAGCGTGATCTCAAGCTTCTTCAGGACCGGCAGTATCATTGACACCGTGACCATCCTCTGCTCACAGAGTAACATAGAGGCATTGTTCAGGGGTCTCAGTAAGTCTACAAGCTCCTGACACAGTTTCTGGTTATTGGAATCGAACAGAAACAGACGCACGTCTTCCTTCTGTAAATCGGGATTCTGGAAAGCCATTTGTATTGAGGGCATATCTCTGATGATCTGTTCAAGCATTGTAAATGTAGAATTCCACCGATCCTCATCATCAACCTGCAAGGAATTCAAAGAAGGGAGGGATTGCTTCAGACTATCTCCAACGCCAGACATAAAGAAACGCGACAGTTTTCGGGCCGACACAATCATGCTCTGTATTTCGGGCTGGGCTAGTCCTTTCTTGGCTGCAGCGTTGATCGTTTCAGCGAAACAAGGCAAGTGTTTCCATTTCAGCAGCCCGCCGGACCTTAAAACAGTTTCATGACCTGACACAAGGATTGGTTCACATGTTATCCGCCAATTAGCTGCCTGGGTCTTCAGGGTTTCAGATATGTACCCAGCAGTTGCATCTACAGGCAGTTCCACTGTTTGCAACATAAAGGAATTTAACTGCCAAGACCTAGAAATGTAATTAGCCGTGATCGTCAAGTATCTCTCCGAGGACGACCAAATGTCTGTTGTCAAAGTAACATGCTCTTGATTTTCAAGTCTGGCTAAAACCTTAGTTCGCCCTTCCTCATACATCTGGGGCAGGAGGAAGTCCTCGAGATGTTTCCTTGAAGGAACATCTGTCTTCGGATCTAAAGTGTGTATTAGGTTCTGAAAAGCCTGACTAGCTATCGTTGTAAATGGCAGCATACCGTCAATAATAAACTCCATGATTGCATACGTCAGAGAAGAGGCTCTAGGAGACTCCTTCCCACTACTCGGTCCGTGCGCCGCTGCCATGGACGGAGGAATGTGGACGATATCGTTGACAGCTTGTGGACTTAGAGTGATGACCTGGTCATTTTCGGAGAAGCACATGACCTGAGCGACCCCGACCTGGTCCTTCTTCAGGTGATGGTTGACGTAGTGGGTGTGGAGGTTGGTGGTGTTGCCGGTGTAGCGGACGCCGATGCGGCAGTATTTGCAGATGGCCCTTGTTTTGTCCAGCGTATAACCGTCATCACTGAGATAGAAGCCGAAGTTCCTCCACACGTCGCTCTTGGCCTTGCCAGGAAACTCGAAGATCTGTCTGTATCCGCCCTCCATGTATTCAACGATCCTGGTGCTGAAAATAAATAATGACGATAATTGATAATTGGCCAAAAAAATAGTAAAATAGTAAAATACATACTAGTAACCGTCATTTCAGTGACATAGGGGGCGACGGGGTAGCCTAGTGGTTAAAACGTTCGCTCATCACGCCGAAGACCCGGGTTCGATTCCAGACATGGGTACAGTGTGTGAAGCCCATTTCTGGTGTCCCCCGCCGTGATATTGCTGGAATATTGCTAAAAGCGGCGTAAAACCATACACACTCACTCACTCAGTGTCATAGTATGTACGTTCTATTTTCTCTCTCTGGTATTCGACACGTGCTTCAGTCAATGTTGTGTGCAGTTGATTAATTGTGTAATTGTGCAATTTTGTAATTGTGCAAAGTGTATGAGAGGTGGATGCTACTGGTATATCTTTCGGCAAGACTGATTACTCTGTGGTGTTGACGTTTCATATTCATGTAAGAAAACAATAATTTCGATGTATGCCCAAAGCCAAAGAACGTATTTACTGCACCGAATGTTCTGGTTCGGGATTACGTTCAATCACTCGCCAACATGGTATGCGTTCCCGCTCCTTTCCAATGGAAGCGAGTGAGTGGTATAACGACGCCTCTAGTCATATGCGAAGAATATTCCGGCTTGGGTCGTCCAGAATTGCCTTCACATATATTGCCTGTGGTCTTTCAGCTTGACGCGCCAATACTTTCATCACTTAACTACAACACCGGCCACACGTCTCTTCGTTCTTTCGCCTCTGTGGTCCAGTGGTTGTCCGGAGGGCGGAATGTCGGTGGTTCGAAACCAGACCGTGTCATATAAAAAGAGTGAGTGAGTGAGTGAGTGAGTGAGTGAGTGAGTGAGTGAAATGTGTTTCACATATTGTACCCATGTGGGGAATCGAAACCGGGCCTTCAGCGTGACGAGCGAACGCTTTCACCACTAGGCTAACCCACCGCCCCCATACCAAAAGACGTTAATAGATGGTCGACTCGGAGTACGTATACTGTCCGTGTCTGAGTGTAGTCATGTTAAACTACGGCATGGTATCTCAGTGGGCTAGCACTAGAAAATCGGACTTAATTCGGATTAGTACAAGCGCGCGCGCGCACGCACACACACACACACACACACACACAGAGAGTATGCATGCACATGCACACAAGCCACACACACACACAGACACACGGGCATACACTTCATAAATGCAATAATCTTGAACGCGGCGTTAAACCCCATTTTCACCTCACCTTTGTTCTCATTTTACATGAAATATACTTTGAAGAAACACCTACCAAATCACATCAAATCGCATTGTGTACGAATAAAACATGACACACATCTGACCTTCGACCATGTTTTGTACCTCATCAGCAGAGAGATGTCATTTATTAATACTGTTAGATGATAACCTACTTTCAATAATTCATTATGGTGCTGGAATTTATGTTTCATATAATTAGATTGAGATGTATAACAAATTCATCTTAACAGCCTCAATACATCTGAGTTCACTCCATGATTAGAGTACAGGAAAAACCAATTTATATATACCATCGGTCAATTTCAGACTAAACAGAATATTTAACATTTCGTTATGAGCATATATATACAGCATATATACAACAAATGTCCGGGACTTAAAAATAAGTTCGTTATATCGGTCAGTTCGTTATAAGCGTGTTCGTTATAAACGTAGTTAACTGTAATGAAAATTTATGAACACTTTTATTACAGTTATGGAACTGGATTTATCCTGAACCAAAATATTGCTACTGAATTATTGGGTAAGTTTGGGGATAAAGCCAAAGTCATTTCATTTTTAAGAGTCATTCTTGCAATTAAATATAAATTTTACTTGCAAACAATTTACGAGATAAAAATAATCGGTGTACAAATAATGACGACAGAACGAAGACGTATTCCGATCCATAGGCGTCTTTGAACAGCCCGTCCACATTAGGACGCCCACACGTGGTATTATTCGGTAGCGATATCTGTGCGTTGTAGGCAATGACCTCTAATAACCGGTCAAGCATTCTCTTCATCAGACATGTGTCAGTCCTTAAACAACACACTAGCTGTGCTGTCGTGCTGGTTTGCAATCAGCCAAGTCTAGAGTTTCAGTGGTAGATGCGATAGATCCCCCAGATCCATACTATCAGACCAAAATCGAAACTGAAAGACCTCGGATAATTCACCTTGTCACATGCGAAGTGATGGTTTTCACAAACTCCGAAATGTAATAAAAACATGCATGTTAACATGTATATTTTAGTATTGGTTGGGATACCGAGTTTGCCGGAGGCGGATATGTAGACACGCCAACCTGTTATCTAGGTCAAAGTACAGCTCGATAGCCATGTACGGCTTGGTTGTGGCAGCCGAGAGACTGGTCTACAAAACGATGAAATATATTTACATCTTGTGAAACACTTACCCGTAGCACGCGCCTCGTTCTTTACTTCTTCAATAATGAACAGATTGTTTATATTCTGTCCTATCTACGTATATCTGTGGAAATTTCCATGCATTTTCATCGATAGACGACAAGAAAACGGAACCCGATAATCGCCATGAGAAATCGATCCTCCTCAGCTCGCTGGCTATACAATAACCGAGGTATTGGTCACTAGAGCGCAGTTACCTCCCTTTAACTAGTGCAATTAGAACCGGAGTTATCAGTGTGTTATTCGGGCCGTGTTACCGCGGGATATCATCTGCTTGTTTGCCTGCATTCTTTTTCTGTTGTAACTAGGACAGGTTGGGTCACTGTGACCTTTCACTTAGACGCTATATCGAAAATTTGCTGTATCAAAATAGCAGGCGATATATTTTCGATTTAATTTCATTTATATACAAGATATAAGATACAAAATGTTATTGCTGAAACGGTTCCATGTAGAAACAGTGACAGTATTCAATAAACTATATAAACAGACACATAATAAATATGTTACCTAAAGTCAATGAAAATACTGACAAAACGTTAGGGCAGGTCTCAGAATTGGCATTATCGTTTCAACACGCGCATGAACCCGACATCCATTTTAAACCGATAATGTCGAATAGATGTGTCTGTATATGGTATTTGTCGACATTGTAATGTAAGCGAAAATAGCCAAGTGTGCGAATGTTTATTTAGCGGATTATATCAACACACGAGCATGTCGGGATCAGCAAAACCTCGCTCGCGGATTGGCTGATTTTATCTGTAAACAATATACTTATTTAGGAAATGAATTTTACATTGTGGTTGTTTACTGGAGTATGTACGCTTTGAACCGTGCCAGTTAAAATCGTGTAAATATGGATGATATCACAGAACAGGGAATTTCCCACGGATTGAAAACCTTGAAGAGTAGCCTAATTATATTCGTGTGCGTCATGTATTTTGAATTGTATTCGACTTCAAAGTGAGGGTAGAAGAGGGAGGACATATTTGTCCCTGTGGCATCCAGGGGGTAATGTAATATGTTAAAATAAGTGTTTAATGAAACCTTGAGTGAAAAAGAAACATTAATTTCTCGTCCGACATTTCCGATCCTCACGATCGTGGTCAGCAGGGGAGAGAATAAAGAATTGTTCCACTCGGGGATTCCCTATGAAAAGTAGTTCTAGTCAAAAATTGTGTAACCGTCAAAAGGTGAAGTTTATACTTTGTAAACGTCACTTTGTCGAAAAATGAACGGGTCATGTGATCAGCAAATTAACCAATGAAATCATCGGAAATCCCTTAAATTTCAAAATAAGAATTTATTCTATATTAAAAAACATTACTCTGGATGAGGTCAGAATACGAAAAGAAGGACCCGAGGACTCGACCCCTGAGGTGGCCTGACCGGACCGAGACCGCAGGCCATTTAAACCGTCCTCTGTTTTATGACTGTATCTTCGCCGCCAGGCGTAAAATGTTAGCATACCAGACGCCATCTTGTTTTCTAGCAGACGAGTCAATTATCATCACGTGGAAGAACAATATTGATCATGTGACGAGTCAATATTTGAAGTCACTATCAGTCACATGATTTGGGGGTCTACATTGAAATGTATTGTTTCGTCACGTGGTACGGATGAAATTGCAAGATTCTTAATAGAGGCATAAGAATACCACATGTTGTCTGTATTGGGTCTAATATAGACACGGAATACCTATAGCCATACTCATGATAATCCGGACGCCCTTGAGAATCCTGATAAACGAGTTTTTGTCGTATACAATTTGAAGTCTGTACTTTATTATATCTATATCCTCTAGAGGTCGGGATTAAATCGGATCTGAGCGGACCAGAGTATATTCCATGTCCAGGTCCTGTGGTCGCCCTTATGCTTGGCCACACGGTGACTGCTGGTGTCTTGTGACCAGCAGATGCCTCTAGCAGACGATCCATTTGTATTTCCAAATGAGAAATTAATACATTGACAGACATAGATCTACTCATCTTTTAATAATAAATATGTAAGAGTTCAAACTGCATCTAAGCTAATTTATGTTCTTTTGTTCGATTGTATTTGGACATATATAGTTTTTGTTTCGAGCTTTAGTTTTGGTCTTTACTTTCCGATGATTGCATCTGCTTTTTTAATTATAACAAAAGGCCCCATTTATTCTAACATATTTTTAATTACACGTTTTAGGGCTGGAACAAGTGATGAGTACCACATATGTGAGCGTCATTTAGGGGGCTGTCAAGCCGTTGGAGATCATATTACTGAGCAAAGCCACTCTGTTACAAAGTAATTTGTACCAGGTGACCTGATCTCAAAGTGAGGGATGATAATGAGCTACATGGCACAGCTGATGCATAGTCTATCTTACAGTCTCTGAACCAAAGTATATATCCCTTCCGCCCAGTCCTTACTGTATTGTTATATGAAGCAAGGCTAGATTGGGGTTTTGTTTTATGTATGACAAAATCTCCCTGTTCTAATAATGGTATTGACGGATTCATACGCTAAGTGTTAAACTTCAACCACACCGGGATGTTATTTCGACAAAAAATGTTTGAATGTTTCTCTCGGCATTTTTGCAGTTATTATTTATTAGGAAATGTCCCCTTGTCACCTTATTCATATGAAACTCTTGGGGTTTATACAAGCTTTAAAAAAGGATATGTTCAATACAATAGACAACTACTAGCTGGGAAACAAACTAATTATTGTCCAATCATTCTCTGCGTGGCATTTGCAGAACAAATTACATCGAGTGTGAATGTATCCATTTGCTTCATATAATCGGGAACCTTCTGATAGTCGTATTCATACAGACCTGGTGTCTACAGTGCCCATGTATTAAGGTACTGTAAATGTATCTTGTGGAATAGCAATGTTTAAGAAAAACATTATTCAGCTGCATGGTTGGACTACTGCTTGTGTTTTTGCCATGAATCGAAGTACAGAAGCTAGTCCCCTGATTGGCGTTGTTAAAACGTGTCTGATAAGTTTTATACACTTACTGATAACCACCATCAACCTGTTTGATATATTGTCATTATTCATTGAAGGATTGTATATATACTACTCAAAAGAAGTTAAAGAACACCCGATTCTTTCATATTACTACAGTTAATCTTTTAAGGCACGACATAGTACCTATAGCAATATGACAGAAATCGGGTGTCACGGTATATACGATTAACTTTAGTAATATAAAAAGAATCGGGTGTCCTTAAGTTCTTTTGAGCACTATATTAATGGCAATCTCCAGGACATGTTACAGTGGCAATACCCCGTGCCGTGGTCCAGAGCGGATTATCGTGTACTACAAAATGGCAGCACATTCAGACCAAAAAAAATTATAAGAAAATTAAACTATATCACGACGACCTGTAAAAAATCGAGCATGTGCCAAACAGACTAGTGGTTGATATAATGGGCGATGTCCGACGCCGTCAGTGTGTGATGACGCGCAATGAGACAAGTCATCGAACTTTGTCGCCTCTCACAAGTTCTGGGGGTCCTATTATAACCCGGGTCCATGGGACTGGGGTCATCTAGTCGGTCTTACATTAATAACCGAATCGAGTTCCTCATACCAGTCTCATACTCCCAATACAGACAAACCACTGGGGCTAGCTGCAGTAGTAAAGTGTTAGTTCACACCAACATAAAGAAGCGTCTTGACACGTCAAACCAATGGCGGATATTATGTGCAATCGGCACGGACATCAGCGTACAGTGTCACTCAGTCTGCCAGGTCACACATTGCCACCACTCGGTCCCAATGTTAATCGGCGCTTGTAGCAATCACTTTATACAAAGGCTTATTCTGCCCCTTTACTACGGGAACAACTATCCTAATACAAAATTCTTAATATAAAATACTACCATGAAGAATTTTACCCCTGGGTAGAGTATGGCTTCAGCAACCCATGCTTGTCGTAAGAGGCGACTAACGGGATCAGGTGGCCAGGCTCGCTGACTTTGTTGATGCATGTCATCGTATCCCAGTTACGTGGATCGATGCTGGATCACTGAATTGTCGGGTCCAGACTCGATTATTTACAGACCGCCTTTATATAGCTGGAATATTGCTGAGTGCGGTGTGAAACAACAAACAAATAATATAAAATACTATCGTCATCATAATCATATATGTCGATGATATGTAATACCGATTATCTGAAAGTTCTGACAGAAGATATAACAAGGCCGTAGTTAACTTTTTTTGACAGGGGGGTGGCAAATATTTGTACAAGTATCACTTGTCCCAAACTTGTATTTTCATGATTCAAATCAAACTGTTTTCTATGAAAACTCACACACACACCCCGCGCTGGCTACGGCACTGTATAATGTTAGGTCTTATTTTGAAAAGAAAAAAGTGAGTAAAGTACATCTAAATTATAAGTTTTTTGTGTATCATACGTTTTTTTGAAATGACACAAAATAGCACATTTGTTATTAACCAGACCCACATATTTAATTACATTAAAAAAACAACAACATACAATAAAAGTACTTTTCCACGAAGACCTAAATACAATGTAAACCCGTCAGAAGGTCAAGGCTGTATGGGATTTGTCAACCATGTCCAAGTCAACTTGCCTCCCGGTTTTTTGCGTTGATGCGTTCACCAAGACGGCATTCAGTGGCAACCCCGCGGCTGTCTGCCTCGTTTCAGCGACCAGCACGGTGACTATGCGTTTGACCTATTATACAGCTGTCTCAGCTGATTTCAGCAATGTTTTGCTTACTGAGTTGGACATCCACTGCCCATGTGGCCGACTTTCAGTGTCGGTATGTTGCGCATTCGGCACCACTCGCCCTTTTCCGGTACCCGAATTGGGTTTGTCCCAGTTTGACGAGTGACCACGAAGGCGTGTTGGCAGTATACGATTTTAGAACCACTTCAAGTCCCCAGGGCTTAAATTGCATGTTTCTACCAAACACAACATGGTTTATTTAACTGCATATTTAAATATGTAATAATATTAATATAAAATTAATAACTTATTATTTGTCCATGCTTCTCATTATAAAACAACGCATACAAACGACTGTCAATTAAGTCCTTATATCGTATACTGACATTCTTGATACTACTATAATATGACTTGGTATGAAATAAGACATACTTACATATTTATTGCACAAAGCATTTATGACGACACCCAATACTATTAATTACAAAACACTACGTGAGAACTAACAACGTTATCAGTTCAAAATATACATGTAAAGTTTGTGGTGTTTTTTTCACAAGGTATCTAGTTTTCACATAAATTCGATTTATTTTACCAGTATTTTCCTGTTATTTATGATCAGGAGTGCCATTTTCTATTTGTTGACTGGATTCCTCAGCATTGAGCTATTTTATTCTATCGACAGTCGTCATTTTTTAAAGAATTATATGTATCATTTCTCTGCGGTCCTAGGTTTGTTATGTCGATTAGAGTTGTCTCCCTTAGCTAACGAGGTGTACTCGTTTCTGCAAACCGGAGCTGTATGCATAGCCATAACATGAACAAGTACTTATGTTAGGTTGGGTCGTGGAAGAATTTCGAACTTTTTAGAGGCTATTATAGTAAATGTATATCAAAGTTACATGTTCTGTTATACTATCCAGAATAGTTTGGTATTTATAAATGTATTGCGCTGAGATTAAACTTGCTGGAATCATCACAGGACGACAAACTGTTGCAATATGTGGATGTAGGAGAAATACTGGGCCCAAAGTATTGATAATGTAATTTAATAAGCTTTTTTTTTATTTCAAAGAATCTCACAGAAACATTGATGCAGAAGATCGCAGCTGAAATGAACTTGTCGGAGACAGCTTTTGTTTTCAGTGAGGGAAATGAAGATAGCTTCAAGAAAAGTAATTCTGATGTTATGCAATGTCTGCCTTTTTAAATTGAATTACACGAGTCGCTGCCCCCTGTCGTACCAGGATCCGCTGCCCGTGTGCAATCCTAGTCGCACACTGAGGATGATCCTTAGACTGTCCACACGAGTGCGCGTTGATTTCACCAAAGGGGCTAATGTCTATAACAGTGGCTTTAATCCCACGAAGCCGACACCTAGCGGAGAGTCCAGCTCACCCCCTCGCACGTGTTCATGTCGGCAGCATAATAAAAAACAGTATCTTGAGAGTACTGCATCACATACCGGTAGCTGATTATGAAACCTGACAAATCTCAATGCTAACCGGAAATCCCAGGCACCGGGCTCCATTTCAAACCGAGCGGTAACTCCACCATTTACACTCGGGTTAGTGGTTGAGCTACATTCATACTATATTATACTACATGACTAAATTGTTTACTTGGATTGAATAGAATAGAATATTATATCAAAGGAAACGGTACCCGGTGGAAACGCTGTGTTTTATTTTGCAGATTGCAGGTTTGGCCTGCGGTGGTTCACGCCCAAGACCGAAGTGAATCTCTGTGGCCATGCAACGCTTGGGTCGGCTGCTGTCCTGTTCAACAAGATAGGTAGGGCTTAGTGGAAAAGGAAAAGATGAGTGGGGTGTTGTGGGTAGGCCATAGGGTAGGTGGCCGGGTCTTGTCGGGTGTAAGGTGAAGGGGTGATATCGATGTTGGGGGTAGTGTGGTAGACTGGACACAGCATGGTATGGTGAATGGGTGTAGGTAGAGGAAGGGAGAGTGGGGGTAGGGTTTATAGTCGTTGGATGGAGAGAGAGAGAGAGAGAGAGAGAGAGATAGAGAGATATAAGTGGGGGGCGCCCAGTATAGAACATATTCAAGCGTGTTAATGAACCATATGCTATAGTTAAAAACTTAATCCCCTTAATCGGAAGTTGCGTCATTTTTCAGGAAATGAGTCACAAGAAATAAGTTTCGACACATTGAGCGGGATATTAACCACACGGCGACAGGACAAGTTAATCTCCATGGACTTTCCCTTGAACCCTTCTGAGGAACAGGTCATGTGCTGCTACTTGTCATTACCCTTGATTATGCAGTGTGTTATTATCTGGATAAATGAGAGTGGAGATACAATATCGGGGTTACTCCAGGGTGTCCTCAGTAATGGAGAATTAGCTGTAGTATATATTGTTAATGTTTATACCCGTGAAGAGCCGGGTTAGAATAGTTTTCAGCAACCCATGCTTGCCGTAAGAGGCGACTATGCTTGTCGTAAGAGGCGACTAACAGGATTGGCTGGTCAGGATCGCTGACTTGGTTGATGCACGTCATCGTATCACAGTTGCGTAGATCGATGATTATGATCAATCACTGGATTGTCTGGTTTAGACTCAATTATTTACAGGTCGCCGTCATATAGCTTGAGTGCGGCGTTAACCCCCCCCCCCCCAAAAAAAAAAAACCAAACAAAAAAAACCAACAAAAACAAACAACAACAACAACAAACAAACAACAAAACAAAACAACAACCCAAAACAAACAAACAAAACAACACAACAAAACAAACATCTAAACAAACAAAGTTAATGTTTCAGTAAGAAGCTACCGCTGACCATTTTGTTTCAGCGCTGCCCTGTAGAAATGAATATGAAGGGATGAACAGCGAACATCAGTATCGAGAGTTGTCTCCCTTATACTAGCCGAGAGGTCTACAAGTTGATTATTAATAAACAAGTGTACACTTCTGCAATATATACTAGTATACATGAAAAGCAAGCTTCCCATTAAATGAACATTGATTCAAGCAATATAAGGAACAAATAAATTTCGTTTTTTTTATTACAGGATAGATCCGAAATGGAAAATCTCCTTAAGGTATGTTCGGAAGAAACATACAATAAGCGATAACAGTCATCCTCCCGAGGCAGGGGCGTTAACTGACTATAATTAATTAATATTATATATAATTAATTCACACATGCTTTGCAAATCCTGCAGTCGACCGAAATCTGCACGTTACGCGATTTTGATTGGACTTTGCATAGACTCGTACTAGTATGCATAGACTGTGCATAGACTCGTTTGTCGAGCCAGAATGTAACTCCGGAATTCAAGCCAATCTCGACAAGGACGGAAACTGGACTTTTACAGTCAGTTAACGCCATTGCCTCGGGGAGATGATTAAAATAGACGATGGTGATTTCAAGGAACATGTTTGGATATTGTTTTAAAGGTTTCATCATCGTGTTTATCATCACCAGTACCACTCCAATAGTAAATCATCAGTATATATCATCATAAGGGACGTTACTCCACAATTTTGGTTTATCACTGTCCAGATTAACACAGTTTCACTGGACAGCCAAGCTAAGTTTAATACGTCCTCAATCCGTGTTCTTGTCAGGTTGTTGTAGACCCGTCACTGATTCAAGATCTGGAATACTCCCCCACAACCAAGAAGCTGGTGGTCCGGTTGTCGGACTCCGTGACACGGTAAGTCGGACCAGTTGTTACGCACGTGCATACATTTGCTACCCCTACGAAGCACACCTGTGATACACGAGCTTGTTACGTAAATGCAGATACCATTGTTGGCATAGTGTATTGACGTCACAAAAGATGATGACGTCATAATTTGTTGTCGACGTCATGTGACGCTTTTAGCTTCCCCCCAAACGGTCATAGTTTTCTGTACAAACATTCAGCAATATTTTTTTAATTTGACGTTTAAACGATATACGGCTTTTCCATTGGACGAGAGGTCGGTCACATGACCGCGAAGTTGACGTTCATAAGTGTATGAACGACACAATTTGACGTTCATACGTTTTTCACGAGACCGTGTTCTTGAAATGACGTAAACACTGACGGACTACTTCCATATTCCTGGGGAAACCCCTGGGAATTCCCTATAGGGATAGCACGAAAACATACATAAGCATTATTTCTGATCATTTAGAACCTTTAATCTTGTTCTCAGCATTTAAGTTTACATTGAGAAACGCCAGAGAGCTTGACTGCATGATTGTTCAAGAATTTCCTCGCTACGGCCCATCCTAATGAACAAACGAAAAAATGCACATCCAAACTATCGTCAGTATCGACTCGATCTGTGTCTAGGCTGACAGTGACCGTCTCCAGCAATCTACGAATTTACGTTGGTGTCTGTTTGACGCATCTTTAATCACCTTTCAATAATCGGTCAGTTGATCAATTATGACTAACACATGTAACCGCCACAGGTTCATTAACAACTTCGGAAATCCTCCCGTCACGTTTATCGTGTCGGCCATTTTGACGTCTTGTACTTGATGTAAATGTATTACGACGCGCTGTCATTGTGACTGACTTACTGAGGTAGTTCATTACAGACCTTTCTCGTCTAATGGGGTTATTATATGAACACATGTGTTGCGTAAGAAGTTTCTGAAGTGCAAGTTCTGCATCCATACGCTCATGCCACCTCTCTTTTTGGGGAACTATTTTATTCCGCGTTATAGCTGGTTGTTGTTTGGCTGTCAGTGTAAACATGAAGTCACACGTACTAAATAAAATTGTGTTTAGATTTTGGCCTACGTCCTTTGAGGAAAGAAATTGTGATAACAAATTATAAGAATTGACTTTCACTTTGTGTGAGTTCATTGGAGTATGAACCTGCATAGAGTGAGGGCCAAACATTGTATGAACGTTGTCGCAAGCTCCTACGTTCATACAGTTTGGCCCTCACTCTATGCAGGTTCATACTCCAATGAACTCACACAAAGTGAAGGTCAATTCTTAATAACATCACGCAAAACTTACAAAACGAAATATTTATCGACTTTGTACCATGAACGTTAAATAAAATCAGTATTTAGGAGGAACTTACTTACTGAGAGCATGACGTAACAAAACTGTCGTTATAACAATACGTCTCCTCGTGCTTACCTTCCACATTACATATGTATATGGTTCAAAATAAGCGAGTTAATATTAATCTACGAATCAGTCTGAAGCAATGATTTCACGCGCTTTACAGCATTCGTGACGAATTGCAAAAGCCATTTTTGATGTAATTTGTAATGACGTCACAATAGTAAAGGCCTCATAAACAGTCACTGTTGACGACATACGTATACCCAGTGTATAATATAGAACACAACACATCATCACTACAGCTAATAATAGTAAAGTGGGGAATAAATAAAATGTGATCATTATGATTATCCTGATCTTACGAAATCTATGTATTTCCCTTGCTCTAATTCGTATCTTACAAACACTAATGAAAGAAAAGAAAGAGCCCTATAGGCGGCTGTGTATGGCACCATTGTGAATATTCCCCATATTTTAATTGGCTCGTGGGACATACTTTTATTGTCGACGTAAATGTCATAACGCCACAGATTATCACTTCTGACGTCATACTGGCCTGTTAGCTTCTGGATACGGTTTATGGACGACAGACGACTTCCGACGATATGAGCTCACTTGGCTTTTCAGGTGATAGGTGACCAGGTGATATTAAAATAGTGTATTATAGAGGGTGAAAAACACGCTAAAATTCTGAGCCAATAAATGAATGTGAAAATTTCAGAAATAATAAAAACAAATCTTATAATCCTTGCAACTACACACTACCACGTGTCCCTGCAGATCGGAGCTGGAGAGTCTACAGCCCCAGATACCCCGTATGGTGGAGAGTGAGAGAACGGGCAAAGTGAGGGGGGTGATCATCACGCTGAGGGGGTCCCAGTCTAACGGAGCGGTGGACGCTGAGGGGAGGGGGTACGACTTTGTGTCCAGGTACTTCGCCCCATGGGTGGGGATACCGGAGGACCCTGTCACGGGTCAGTTTAAATTGTAACGTATGGTTATTCTTCTCTGCTGTTCATTTATTTTAAACCAGCACTTTTCTGTTTTTTTAGTTATTGTCTTGAGCCTAATTGTGCTTTCATGCTATTTGTGTTTTCATGGAAAAAACTCAGACAACACATATTGAGTGACGCTTATATATGTATAGACGTTCTCAAAAGGGTTTTAGCTCCGTATAGATGTAAAACCAGTATCACAGGCACGTATAAACGAAATATTAGATGATAAAATAGACACAATTTATGGATAACAACTTTTTTAATACTGTGAAAAGCGACGTTTCGGTATAGATCCTTATACCGTTGTCAAGCAAGACTTGCTTATTTTCTATAAATGGGGTTATGTTGATGGGCGATGTTTGTGGTTTCAGGGTCGGCCCACACAGTACTGGCCAGCTACTGGTCAAAACAGCTGGACAAACACGAGCTTTACGGTGAGTCACGTGACGTCACTCTGTAATTATATTAAATCAATCAATCAATCAATACTTTATTCAGTATCAAGGCCTAGATCCATATACAACAGACCATACAAGTAGAAAATGATATTTGTCCTGACCGCCTCCGTGGTCTAGTGGTAGAGCGTCCACCCGGAGACCGATTCCTGTCATACTACAAGACGTTAAAAGATGGTACCTGTTGTTTTCCTGTCTGGCGCTCGGCATTAAGGGGCTCGAAAACAGTATACTGTGTCTGAGTGGGGTATTCATGTTAAAGGGGCGGTCGGGTAGCCTCGTGGTTAAAGCGTTCGCTCGTCACGCCGAAGACCCAGGTTCGATTCCCGACATGGGTACAATGTGTGAAGCCCATTTCTGGTGTCCCCCGCCGTGATATTGCTGGAATATTGCTAAAAGCGGCGTAAAACCATACTCACTCACTATTCATGTTAAACTGCGTCATGGTGTCTCAGTGTGCTAGCAACGACATCAGTCCGGACTAGTACAAGCTTACAAACCTCTTTATGTTAGTATGCATACATGGACGTGCTCATTCCCTGAGAGACAAGAGGAGGATGAAATGGTCCTCCGCTGCAGCAGTTATATACAACTCAAAAGAAGTTAAAGAACACCCGAATTTGGTGTTGTTTTAAAGAACTTCTTTTGATTAGTATAACAGTTTAATGCAGAGTGTTAATATTGCATACTGCATGATGTGTTTGTGTTTCCAGCTCGCCAGTGCTCGCCCCGGGGTGGGGACATACACCTGAGGGTGGCGGGGGAGCGGGTACACCTGGCAGGGGACGCTGCCATCATTATGACGGGGACACTTGAAATATGATTCAACCTCGACTTACAGGGGAATATTTTTCAATATTTAGTATGCATGCATGTTTTTTTTATCAGAAAACGACATTGTATGTATGGTTTCATGGTATTTGAAATAGATAATATGTATTCAAGTTGTATATGTTGGTATACCCATGTGTCTGGTTTTGGGCATGTTTGTTGTTTGCAGCGGTCGTATGTGAATGTTATCGTTTGTTTAAGATTTGTTTGTCTGTTTGTATGTTGCTTAACGCCACTTTCAGCAATATCCCAGCTATGTGACTGCGGTCTGTAAATAATGGAGTCTGAACCAGACAATCCAGTGATTGATATCAAGAGCATCGATCTACGAAATAGGGACACGATGACATGCATGGGCGAGCCTGACCACCCGATCCCGTCAGTCGCCTTTTACGCGACAAGCATGGGATGCTGAAGACCTATTCTAACCCAGATCTTTTGTTTAAGACGGACATCGGTGGATAGAACTGGATACGTGGTTCATTCCTGCAAGACTTATAAATGCATGTTATTTAACATCCGGTATGTTATCATAATACTGTTTTGTTTTATTGGTTTTTTTTAATTTCATCGGTTGTATTTTTTCTTCTTTTTGTTTGGACCTTTTTTGCGTGTTTGTTATTATTAAAAAGAGTAAGCCAAAATAATGTTCAGTTATTATTCATTGACATTGATCCACCCGGCAGAAACATTAACAGCAACAAATATACGCAGGGCTAATACTGTGGTTTACACATAGTGACGAAGCCCAAATTGTACCATTTTAGTTTCCAGGCGTGTGTCCGCACAGCCACGTAAAATAAACAGATAAACATAGGAAGAATGTGTAAATATTACTTTTTATATCTACCGCAAGTAACATATTAAAAATACTGAAAACATTCATTTACATGATTTTCGGAACGAATGCATAAATCGAGCCTTTAGAAGACTATCTTCAAGATCTTGATATCCAAGTCAACACGAAGGCTTGACATATATCTCTGCCACCCCTTTAAGCAAACACAGCAGCCTGACAAGGAAAGGTCAAGGTTATACTAGGAGGTCGACCATGTCCGAACTACCAATATATTTCGTAGATGCTTTCACAAAGACTGCTTTCAGTGGCAACCCCGCGGCAGTATGCCTGGCGTCAATTAACAATGCGGTAAACACGTGTATTCATTCATCAGGCTTAGCTAATGTGACATTTGTCCTATACCCAGTCGGCAAAAGTAGATCGTGAAAACCCATGACCGAATTACCCCGATCGTGTATCAGAATACGAGATTGTGGCTCACGTGCAGGTAGTGGCCGGCGATACCCCGATACAGACGGATGGATGGATAGATACATAGAAAACGTAAATTAGGGTTCAAAATTACATTGTAAAATGTCGACATACCTCTGTTCTATCAATGATAAAGGTATAGTGAAAATAATCAGGAAACAGTTTATATAAAGAATACTATGTAGGATACCAGAGCCGGGTCTTATTCTATGTTGTCTTTCTGTAACCTCGATTCCTCGGATGCCTTTACTCAAATCTTCACTCGTGAAAGCTCTACTACTACTACTACTACTACTACTACTACTACTACTAATTATGGCCCGGTCGCATCACACCAAAAGACTCGACATTAAGGTTGGTTTGGTTGTTTTGTTGTTTAACGCCGCACTCAGCAATATTCCAGCTATATGACGGCGGTCTGTAAATAATCGAGTCTGAAACAGACAATCCAGTGATTAATATCATGAGCATCGATCCATGCAATTGGGATCGACGACATGCATTAACCAAGTCAGCGAGCCTGATCACCCGATCCCGTTAGTCGCCTTTTACGACAAGCATAGTCGACATTAAGGAGATAAAACAAGGATGGGTCAGCTCGGAGTCAGTATACTGTATACTGTGAGTTATTCATGTTAAACTGCGACATAGTATTTCAGTGGGCTAGCACTATAAATCGGATAAAGTCCGGACTAGCACAAGCAGCCACACACAAACACACACACACACACACACACACGTGTATGCACGTCGCTATATAAGTGCAATAATCTTGGACGCGACGTTAAACCCCATTTCATCTCACCTCACCACTAATTATGGTATACGGTTTCTTAAAATAGAATATATCAAATATCTGTCTCAGTTTTTAGAGTTCAGTATCAGTATCAGTATATTTCTAGTATTACCATCATTCTGCGCAGAATCTAACCGACAAACAAATGCAGAAGGTTGCTATAGAGACGAATATGCCGGCCACAGGCTTCATCTTCAGCGACGGGGATGACGAGAGCTTCAAAACACGTAATGTTGTTGATCGGGGTCGTTGTTCTTAAGTAACAGCCTTAGGAATCAGCTACTGAGACAAGGAACCTGTTGTTATGGTGATGAGCGAGTTGGGTTTAACGGCGCTTCGAACTGTATTAATCACGACGAGTAACTGACGGGTCACCATGGGAGGAACACCCGACGTGATGAAATAAAAATGAAAATTTAGGGTATCCGACGTTGAATTTTTGAAGTGCGCCCTAACCTACATCGAGTCTATGTTGTATTCCACAGGTTCTAGGTTTGGCCTGCGATTTTTCACCTCAAAGACAGATATAAATCTCTGTGGCCATGCAACTCTAGGCTCCACTGCAGTTCTGTTCAAGAAGCTAGGTAGTCGGATTAAAGTATTTAATAATAAATATCTTCAGCAACCCATTCATGCCGTAAAAGGCGACTATGCTTGTCGCAAAAGGCGAATGACGGGATCAGGTGGTCAGGCACACTGACTTGGTTGATGCATGTCATCGTATCCCAATTGCGTGGATCGATGCTCATGATGTCAATCATTGGATTGTCTAGTCCAGACTCGATTATTTACAGACCCCGTCATATAGCTGGAATATTGCTGAGTGCCGCGTTAAACACACAAAAAAGAACCTAACCAAACCAATAATATATCAATAAGTATTAAATCAAACAACATAATATAATATAATAATTGAAAAATGTCAAATATAAATATTATTTTTCCTCTTTAGCAATAAATTACACAGTATGAAAGAAACTATTATTTATCACTCTGTTTTAGGAAATGCATCGAAAGAAATTTCTTTGGACACCTTGAGTGGAACGTTGACAGTGAGCAGGCGGGATAACCTATACTAAATGGATTTCCCCCTGATTCCCTCCCACAAACAGGTGAAGTCGTAGTTCAGCTTCTTTACAGGATCTCTAACGTTCGTTTAACAAGATGACGGTGAAACATAGATCTATAACTGGAGGTATATAATTCTGGAGGGGGCACGGGTGGCCCAGTCGTCTAAGGCGCCGCGATTCGCTGTGCAGAGTTGCGTCCCTTGGGCACGCCAGAAATCTATGATCGTGGGTTCGAATCCCGGTTCGCCCCGATTATGTTTCTGAGTGCGGCGTTAAACAACAAACAAACAAAACATTTTGATCTAGATCTAACGTCGTGAGTTCTGTCTATGTAACCACCACTTGTATTCCCTTGCGGAGACTTTGGTGTAAAAGAGGTGACTCCGACCTTGTTTGTGTAAGAGGCGACTAAGATGGAGCGGGTAGGCGCTGGGCTCGCACAAGGCGTTATGTTTCTAGGTTTGTCAGCACCATACCCTTGCTCGTGGGTTTCACCGAAGTGGTAAACGTCTGAGACCTGCATCACTTGGGGCTTTCCTCCCACATTAAGCTGACACGCCGCGATATAACTGGAATACTGTTAAAAGCGGCGTAAAACCCAACTCACTCACTCACTCTTTCTGGAAGAAGTGACAGACGATTTGGGCAACAGAAAGGTTTTCCCTTTCCATCGGCATCGTAAAGGTCAGAGTTACTCCCCTTTGACCAGTCTTGTCCCGAAAAACAGCCTCACGCGAAGCTCATCTCCAGGCCCGCTTCTCATTCTGAACTTGGGAGCTTTCAGAGTGGCCTCTAGATCCAGTGATCCTCGCAGCCAAACTTTCATCCCTTCAGAGTATGAATCATCCTGGGTTAGTTTTAAAGTACAAAATACTATTTCAGAAATGGACTATAAGTCAAAAAGATTATTGTTACTGGGCAGAAATGACTAAAATTGACCCGTGAAGATTCCGGGGTAGAATAGGCAGACAATACCGTGAATACCGGGAACAGGTTAGATGTACACAAAATATATCAGATTTCATTTCATTAAGTTATCCATAAATTGTCTCTACTTTGTCGAATTACGATTAAGTTTGGACAATTTCGGTGAAACCCAGGAGTACGGGATAGTCATAATTCCTGAGGGGCGGTCGGGTAGCCTAGTGGTTAAAGCCTTCGCTCGTCACGCCGAAGACCCGGGTTCGATTCCCGACATGGGTACAATGTGTGAAGCCCATTTCTGGTGTCCCCCGCTGTGATATTGCTGGAATATTGCTAAAAGCGGCGTAAAACCATAACACTCACTCACTCATAATACCTGACAAAAACATCTGGGATTCGAACCCAAGGCATGGTACTCAAGAAAACGATAACCACAATGAATCATCCAGCAGCTAAGGGGCTAACTTCGTGTTATTCAACATCCGTCTTTTTAATACATTTGTTTTCTTTAACAAGATAGAGCGGAGCTGGGGAACCTTTTAAAGGTGGGTGTGGAAACCTGAAAACAAATATAAATTCAAAATATACAAAACACGCATGGAATATTTGTTCTTCGTTCCGTTGTTGTGTAGGTTACGGGCATTGGCACATTTTTAGACCTTAACTTTGGTAAATGTGATCACAAACATGGCCTTGTTACACGCGTACCATCCTAGACCCGTGAAGATCCGGGGTAGAATAGGTCTTCAGCAACTCATGCTTGCCGTAAAAGGCGACTATGCTTGTCGTAAAAGGCGACTAACGGGATCGGGTGGTCAGGCTCGCTGACTTGGTTGATGTATGTCATCGTATCTCAATTGTGTGGATCGATGCTCATGACGTCAATCACTGGATTGTCTGGTCCAGACTCAATTATTTACAGACCGCCGTCACATAGATGGAATATTGCTGAGTGAGGCGTTAAACAACAAACAAAAACAAAAGCGTTCCATCCTAAGTATCCTCTCTATAACGCGTCAACAAACTTGATATTCATGGAGTCAGCTGTGTTGGTGTTCTGAGTGTTGTTGTGCCTGACTGTCACAGGTGGTTGTACACTCGTCACTTATACAAGACGTGGAATACTCGTCCACCACTAACAGCCTACTGGTCAGATTGTCAGACTGCTGCTCAAGGTAAGAAACCATTTACAAAATTCAAAGTGCCGTATTTCCTTAAATAAGGGATCTACCCTCGGATAGCTTAATCTTTTAGAAATCATAAACTATGTATAACTTTGGAGGTCTTAATACTGAGTGTAAAGTAAATGTATTTGATGTGTTTTTTTGTTATTGTTTTAATATAATCCTTGCAACTACACACTACCACTTGTCCCTGCAGATCGGAGCTGGGGAGCCTACAGCCCCAGGTACCCCGTATGGTGGAGAGTGAGAGAACGGGGAAAGTGAGGGGGGTGATCATCACGCTGAGGGGGTCCCAGTCTAACGGAGCGGTGGACGCTGAGGGGAGGGGGTACGACTTTGCGTCCAGGTACTTCGCCCCATGGGTGGGGATACCGGAGGACCACGTGACATGGAAACATATAGCGGTTAGTAGACGAGGTAGAACTCTGCAGGTAATTATTTCGATGGCATTAATATATCTTACCTCACGTAAACTGCTGTGCAAAAAGCTTATACACCCATATTTGATGGTGGCTTAAGATACAAGTAACGTCCAATGGTACGATGTTTGAAGCCCATTTCTGGTGTCCCCAGCCGTGATATTGCTGAAATATTGCATAAAGCAGCGTAAAACAATACTCACTCACTTTTGGCAACAGTGCCCTAGAAAGATTACCTTTATTCACGATAAGATAAGATAACACTATATTATCCCGAAGGGAATTTGGGTTAAATCGCACAAGGTCTCAGCTTATTGATAAACACACGCATGTATAAGTATAAGAAAATCACATATGTAATTAACATTAAATGTGGCACTAGCTAATAAATGCTTAACATTTATTTATTACAAAACGTGTTATTAAACCTGGTACCAGCTGGTCCGGGCCCTGTTAGTTCTCAACATCGGCAACTGCTGCCGGCGGCCAGAAGGAAGAAGTCGATACTCAGGATGTAAAACATGCGAGATATCGCTTCATATATTATTTGCTGTGTTAAATATTTGCTGCTCATGAATGCCGCCGAATTCCTGGAGGGAGATATCAATGATTCGTTTCCCCGTGTCACAGATTTTGAACAGACAGATTTCCGTACCAGCTAGTGAAGTTAAAAGTTTGAATACTTAAAACAAATGTTTATACTTACCAGTGACCATATACCTGTATATGGTCTCTGTACTTACAAAGTTTATTATTTTAGGATCGGCCCACACAGAACTGGCCAGCTACTGGTCCCTACAGCTGGAGAAACGCGAGCTTTATGGTGAGAAGACGTCATGATTTGTTATATTGTTTATTAGGAACGCGAATACGTTCATATACCCGAAACACAAGTGTGAAAAAAACGTGTGGTGTCACCCTGGGCAAGTGACTTAGTTCAAATGTGCCTCTGTTCACCCAGCAGGGAATGGCTACCCGATATGTGAGGTGGATGTAAAAATCCGATATCGCCGGTAGGCAGCTTGGGTTGTATACTCACCAGGGAGTTGAGAATGATAACTTGAATGCATACGGATCCGTTGGTCGAGGAACAAATAACAAGTATCCGAGGAAGTGTGGTATATAAATGTAGAATAGAACAGAAAAACACAATTTTCATATTATTCATGTAGTTTTTTTATGGATTAATGGTAAAAGTAAGAACGAACAAGTTTAATATGTACAATATTTCTTGCTAACGTATGTTTTGATGTCACTATATTAAGCTTCTTTATGGGTTATATAAATTAAAGTGAGTGACTGTGAGTTTGAATGTGTGTCTATGTCAATGTCCAGTTTATTAAAAAAATATCTCAGTCCATAATAGCCACACCTCCAATATCAATCTTACTATTAGTAGCGACCTGCATCAATAGCTTCTAGAACTCATTTAATAACATTGCTAAAATTGTCTGTATATTTTGTCTTACCAGGCGAGGCACTTCCCTGGGTGTCAGGTCCGTTCTGTAACAGGGACTCAGAAATAAATTATCAATTATAAAAAACAAACAAACTAATGAACAAAAAGAGTTATGTATATAGGCGGTTGTTTATGACGTCAAAGTAAATATTTTTTTTATTGGATATTGAATCACGTGACATACCAACCCTTCCGTTACATTTGCCTGAAACCGATACAACTTTGCCATATTGAGTAGATAAAGTATATAAGAAGAATGAAAGACACCAAAAGAAATCATGATTGAAATGTCTAACATCCAGTCTCAACTCTCAGCCAATATGCATATTGGCATTAAATGTCAATCAATACGTACATTGCCTGAATTTTTCAGTCAGTATACATATAGCCTGATTATAGACGTCGACTGTAACATAGTCACGTGTGTGCGAGAGAAGCTGAACCAGAGAACATGTATTAACTAAGTTTATGTTTGTGTTTCCAGCTCGCCAGTGCTCACCCCGGGGTGGGGACATACACCTGAGGGTGGCGGGGGAGCGGGTACACCTGGCAGGGGACGCTGCCATCATTATGACGGGGACACTTGAAATATGATTCAACCTCGACTCGCAGGGGAACTACAATATATGTCGCGGTTATGATATACTAGTGAATAATATTAATAAAAACTCTTAACGTTTTTTATATATATTTTACACATGTATACGTATGGCTGGGATGAAAGATTGTCATTATTAATTGTTTGATCTACATTATTTCCTGCGATAATTCTGTAATGTTATTGAAATTATGATAATATTTTTTTTCCATATTTGAAAACAACACTATTTGTTGCCTGGTTAAATGACCTATACTGTATGAACACAGACATGTAATATACCTAATACTATATTTAAAATCTGGATTGCGTATATGTTTGTAACAGTTTGTATGACGTCATTCTAGTTTTCATTAACGTAATAGTTACGTCATTAAAATGTTAAGCAGTGCTTACATTTGTTATACAAGTGGTAATAACATTAATGTGGAAAATCGCTGGAAAAGTACGGTATTTCATAATATATATATCAATTATCTAAATAATATTATAGGAAGAGTTTCACTCACCATTTTGCTCGGTAACGATTCATGAAACCAGTAAATATGAAAAAAAATTGGTCAGCCGCCAGAGTCCTGCACTCTGTGCCGGAACCCGGGATTGAACCGGGGGCCTTTAGATCTTCAGTCTAACGCTCTCCCAACTGAGCTATTCCGGCCGACAAGATCAACGGTGTTAACCGCCGGCTATAAATGTACTGCGAACGCTAACGTTATTTCATGAAATTTATCAATCGCCTGTCGCGTTGAATAGGTCGTATGAGTATAACTGAAGTATATTACAAAACAAATTAGAAAATAGCTTTGGAATGAAATCAGGGCACAGCCGCGCTCTGTGACAAATTAATATCGCTATGGAAAGATCACGTGGTCAGTGGGATTTTCCTCATAGTAATAAATTATGCGATATTATTATTAGGTGTGTATATACGATGCGTAGGCCTGGGCGCCTCATGTTTGAATATATGTGATAGCCAGTCGGGGTCTACATTTACAGACCTGATTGGCGTTTAATAATATTAATAAAAGAAATATAAAAGGCATTCAATTTTAAAATAGTACTAGCTAAAGTCAAGGGGTATTTCATTTCAATCGGAATAATTAGAGAATCTCACCCTCGTGTCTTTTTACATGAAATCAGAGACCATATAATGGTCTCTGATGAAATATATCAACACGAGTTGATACAAATTATGGGACATTATGAGTGTTGATATAGATCTAGATCTAATTGATATCAAAAGACACACTAGTGATAGTGAGATTCTATTTATCATCCAACAGCATTCCTCCAACCCTTTTCAGTTTGAAAACAGTATAATTACTATAAGTGTTTTAAATTGAGTGTAAAAATACAGCTTCAATGGCAGAGAGATTTAAGACATCATTTGATTATATGTTATGACGTCACGGTAACCGATGACGTCACATTGGTCTGCGAAACATTGTGATGCACGTAGAAGCCATTCTTGATGATAAGAGTGTTTATCACTCTTGTTGTTGACGATGATATGAGACATCCGTTAACCATTTATTCCCTATTTCATTATATCAATATTTCGCAAATTCAATTTAATATCATTTAATTAAAAAATGATATTGATGAAATAATATGTATTATTGCCACATGTTCGCTTTTTATATTTTTAAATGAGTGCATATCTGAGTAATTTTTAAGTCGGATTTGAGATACATAAAATCTTAAGTGTGGATGTGATAATAATCGATTTGATGTCATCAATAATTCATATACTGATATATTATACTCGAATGTGTGATATCAATTTTTCACTCAATGACATCTTACAATCATAATGTTGATTTTAGATATGAGTAAATCGTATTTATGATATTATCCATTACCTTTTCATAATACCTGTCCTCTCGACTGAGCAGAATATCATGATTAGCTTATGAAACACAGCATAAAGTCTTGGAACCTGTTATTAATAGTTCGCACAAAAACACAAAGAAATATGGCTTGATATAGGTGACAGACAGTACCGCGATATGACTTTAAGACAGAATTCGTTAATGTCATGAACCAAGTAGTGAATTACATTATCACAAATTTGATTTTGGATATCAGTGAATCCATTTCGAATATAAACAATCGAATTCTAATCTGGTTTTGATATTTAAAACTTCTTCCTTGAAATTGATAATTAAAAAAAAAAAGAATTATTAATATCATACAACAGGAAATAAATAGTAAAACCGTGCATGAGGCCAGTGTTGTCAGTAGCATTCTCATCATTCATTGTATGATACCCATTTTTAGCATGTTGTCCCTGTGTTTTAAGATACCAACAATTCATTTTTTTATATCAATGAATTTTGATAAATATAACTACAGGTATTAGTGATTGCATTTATTTCCTGATATAACAAATTCGGATTTAGGTACCCAAAACAATTGTTGTGAAAATACATGGCCAAATAGTTATAATTTTTTATTCAAATTCAATTTGTAGTCTTGAAATATCAACTTCGAGAGTCAGTCCAATCAATAAATATTTATATGTAAATGAGTGAGTGAGTTGAGTTTTACGCCGCTTTTAACAATATTCCAGCAATATCACGGCATGGTGAGGTAAGGTAGTGACATCCGACATCAATGGCGCTAGAACCGGCCAACCAGTATATCCATATTTTGAGAATAAACATCACGTGTAAATAAAAGTGTCAGTTAATCGTCTCTCGTCTGTCTCACAGTCCCTGAACCATATTATTTTCCTTCCGCCAGACATGACACTAATGCTATAGCCCTACATGAAGCCGGTCCAGATTTCCCACTGGTAACTCCCTTCTCATTTGGGCTCTGTTTTAATTTAAATGTATTTGCTTGTTTTTACCAGACTTGCATGTTTTGAGAGCCGAAGCGTCAGTCTAAATCTTCCCTTATTAGGAAGGATGACGGAGTAGCCGATGTCCACGCTCACAAGATTATTACCAATTCCAATTAACTACATCTGCGAGCCCCGTCAGTAATGTCAAAAGAGGTGATATGCTCCTTGTTGGTTCATCTGTGCTAATTACATATTGGCTATTTTCTATTAACACATGAGACTAGTTAGGCAAGTACATTCGATATCCATTGTTGGGCAGATGTTGGCTACAATCTGCATGTCTGAACGAGTTTCATCATGACTCAATGATCTACCCAGTCTTACCATGTACAGAGTACGAGCATCTGTCAATATCAGTCTGAACCCGTGAAGATCCGGGGTAGAATAGGTCTTCAGCAACCATTGCCTGCCGTAAAAGACGACTGTGCTTGTCGTAAGAGGCAACTTACGGGATCGGGTGGTCAGGCTCGTTGACTTGGTTGATGCATGTCATCGTATCCCAATTGCGTGGATCGATGCTCATGATGTCACTCACTGGATTGTCTGGTCCAGACTCGATTATTTACAGACCGCCGTCATGTAGCCGGGATATTGCTGAGTGCGGCGTTTAACAACAAACAAACAATATCAATCTGAACGTTGAACACGCAAGCAGAGAGGAAGCTTCACTGTCATGTATTTGGGAGATGAAAGCAAAACGCCTGACTGTTTACTGCAATATAGACAGTTTATATACTTTCAGGTTACACATCCCTCTAAACAGATAACCCAGTAATTCACTGTGCTCCAGCTTTAAAGTGGCGGAGAGGGAGTTTTGTTCATATATGGTCAGACAGCGCTGCATGACAAACAATTGTTTTCTCAGAAAGGAAGAGAACACAATTATTGGTTTGTTATTAATGACTGGACACGTCTGCGGCGATGACCCATAACTATAAAGTCGGCGAGTTGATCATTTAATATTCTCAAGGGATTGCGAGAGTGACCATCTGTCTTGTCTAATCGATCTTGAACAATCGGCTGGTCTGAAGAGTCTGCAATATTACTGGCCGAACATCAAAAGAAATTAAACATTTATGGCTATGGTTGGAGTAATGACCGTTATCATTAGACACTCATTTCCCTCATGTCCAAATAAGGGAGGTCAAAGAGATGTTCGCGATGTCGCACGCCGTTATCGTTGCAGCGGACGGCAAGGCAGATGCAACCGTGTTTGCCTGTTATAGGACGTGTCACTGCAATAGTTGGAGGCTATCGGTGATTAAATTTAGATTCATTAGCTTCTGGGGTTTCGAGAAGAAGAACGAGCAACACAACCCGGCAATTTGATCGTCATGCACGCTCGAACACATCGGGAATACTCACGGAAATTACCGACTGCGTCCAATCGTCACCACTCGTACGTTTCCGTAACCGACGGCCTGTCCCGGAATGACACGAGTTGCATCGTAGTTTTTTCTTTCATCTTTTAACATTTCAAAATCTATAATGGATTACTGATATAATGCCATATTTAAGTGATTAGAAGCATTGGTGATGTGGGATAACATTTGCTCTATTAAAACTGTATGTGTTTCAACAGAAACTTTATTGATAGACGGCCTCCGGTTTTAAAGAAACTGGACGTTAATGTCTTAAACCATGCCCGTTATCTTGTTCGTAATATGACATCACCCAGAACGCTGACATTGATCATGCATCACAGCATCCTACGGAGTAACTGATTATGAAGATAAATATTGACTCATATTTAAATCGACCAAGCTCCAATATTTCATCACCGTAAGAATCATTCATGATATTTTAATAAACATTTGATTCAATGTTATTTCTCGAGTTTTTCTAAAACGGCAATAGTTAAGTCTCAAAATTATTATCACAGTAGAATGCATAGAATTATGGTAATGTCCCGAAGCCAATGTGTAAATGAGAGTTACCTCCCTTCCATTACTTGTATTCAAGCTCCTTGCCAGCACATGACACTTTTGTTACCTTCCCGGGGAGCTGTGACTGGTGGCAGCGATGGTACAGCGAGCTGGCTCTCGGTGTGAGGAGCTTGACTTGTATTCAGAGGCAAGGCTTCTCCGATACGATACTATACTATACTATAAACGTAAATATATTCAAAGGTCACGTGACTTATTTCGG